AAACCCTGGCAAGTTATCAAAATAGATAAAATGGGGATATCATTGAAATGGGTGTTTTAACTTTACTGCTCAAGGTTCACGTGAATTGAAGAAACTGAATAAAAAATGTATTCTTAGTAGGGCTTCCCAGGTGGCGCAGTGGTTAAGAATCCTGCCAATGCAGGGGACATGGGTTCAAGCCCTGGTCCGGGAAGATCCCACATGCTGCAGAGCAACTAAGCCCGTGTGCCACAACTGCAGCCTGCGTGCCTCAACTACTGAAGCCTGTGAGACACAACTGCTGAGCCTGCGAGCCACAACTACTGAAGTCCACGCACCTAGAGCCCGTGCTCTCGTGCTCTGCAACAAGAGAAGCCACTGCAATGAGAAGCCTGCGCACTGCAACAAAGAGTAACCACCGCTGGCTGCAACTAGAGAAAGCCCGCACGCAGCAACAAAGACCCAACGCAGCCAAAACTAAATAAATAAATTTATTTTTTTAAAAAAGTATTCTTAGTAAACATTGTAAAGTATTTGGAACTGAAACCGAGAAATAAGTTTTAAGTAAAGAGGAAGACAAATGTTTGAGTACTGCTTATGACCTTGGGCAAGCCACTTGACCTCTTTGTAAATGGAGCTACTATAGAGTTTTGTTATTGTGGTTCTAAAGATAGCAGTACAGTGAAATTTGCTTGTATTCAAAATTACCTTTTAAACTTTAGACTCACACTCAAGATAGCTTATACTTTCAGATAGAACGAGCATATGAGATCTGATTTGTACTGAGGGAACAGGAGAAATGAATCTCCCATCTCAAGCACACCCTGGGTCATAAGCTCATGAATACAGTGACTGGATGCAGTGGTCTGCACTATTTAAATGATTTCTCCCCTTTTTATACACTCATAAATTAATAGGACTTCAGTGCAATAGTGCCTGCATAATAAGGTTCTTGGAAAGTAAATAATACAACCACCTGTCTTACAGATTGTGTTTTTGTAAAATGAATTTATTCTAATGGATAGATTAATTAAGGAGCAATACCGTTTGTGTGGTGACACAATTAGATAACAAGGTGGGGAACTAGTGACGTGGCAGAGAAGAACTGTAAACAGCACTGCTATTCTGAGTTATTCTTGTTGTCCTAATAGTAATTTGAAAGACCACAAGAAGGATTATGCTAATGAAAGTGCTGAGAAAGGCCAGAGTGAGGTGTGATCAATTGTAGGATTTCCTCAATGATGTTTAAGTTTTATAACATATTCTTATAACTAAAAACATGCCTTTATTATTGATACTCTTAAGGAAAAAAATCATTTTTACTATGACCTGAAATTCCCTTGTCCCCAACCCCTGTTGTCCCATGGAAACAGTTGTGTTTATATGTGATTTTTTGGATAATGCAATGTTTTATTTCAGTTCTGTCGTTATTGCAGAGCTGCCTGTATTTGTAAAGAACCTAGCACAGTATCTGACACACTTTTTTTTAAGTTGCTTTAATTAGTGCACATGCATGAGCATGAGCTCGAGCACTGAGCTCATGTTCAATTTTAGGGAAAAGGCTTGTTTCCATTTCTGTAAGCAAGAGTGTTCTCCCCCACCCCTTTTTCTCCTTATTTTATTAGAAGTAGGGCCCAGAGAATCCCAGTAATAACACCAGGCCTGGTTGAAAGGTCATGAAAGAAAATTCATATGGATTTTTATGGGGACTTTGAGAGAAGAAAGTTCACTTCTTAGCACCGTCTTTTTCCTTTTCTTTCTTTGCCTCAAAACGCCAAATGAAATATACAAAGATTTTTTCCTTTTCTACCTTTAACATAAGATGGCTGTTCCTTTTCTAATTCTTACCTCCTACCACTGTTTGAGTCCCAGTGCTTTTCTGTTATTTTTCTGCCTTTGTTGGTATTCATCTGTCAGTGTTGTTGCAAAGGAAATTCTGACGTTGGTGGATGAACTAGCTGTCCAGTATGATATTTTACAGTTCTGATATGTACATCATTCACTTTAGAGCCTTTAGCAGTGTTTTTAACCTTGCACCATGGTATTGAGCCCAAAACAATTTGGTTTTGTTCAGTTTTTTTCTTTTGCTCTTAAAAACACAATGTGATGGAAAAGACAAAACCTCTGCTCTAACCCCTGCCCCGTGAGAATGAGAGGTCAATAGAAATTTCTTTTCTTCATCAGGTTAGAGGGTAAGATATTAGAGGTGAGCATTTTTTAAAAAATCATTGTAGTTAGATATCCCTCTCTGAATATTAGACCTGGAAATATAATCACATTTAACTGTTTTCATATGTATGGTACCACTAGAGTGTTCACAACTACTAATCATCTGTAAAGGAGAAACTAAAAATATTTGAAACTTTCATCAGTTTTCACTTGGAGGCATTAAAGATTTTTTTTAAAAACCCTTGAGGGACTTCCCTGGTGGCGCAGTGGATAGGACTCTGTGCTCCCAATGCGGGGGGCCCGGGATCAATCCCTGGTCAGGGAACTAGATCCCACATGCAACTAAGAGTTCACATGCCACAACTAAGCAGCCCACGTGCTGCAACTAAGGAGCCAGCCTGCTGCAACTAAGACCCGGTGCAACCAAATAATAAATTAATTAATTAAAAAAAAAACCTTGATATTGAAGTTACTATTACTATAGTCCTAAAAGAAAAGGTGAAGTTTTAGTTGTTTTGATTACATCTTTTATTCTGAAAATTAACTATCTTAATGGGATTCCAAAGATCTAAGTATGTTCTAGTTTGCAAAGCTAGATGATTTTGAACTTGACACCCACCTAGCCAGCCATTTCTTAGGGATTTATGAAGAGTGATGGAAATACTTTTATCACACTGGTAAAGTATTTCCATGTAATTACAAAGAGTAGTATTTAATATTACTGATATTACATGCAGTTTTTAAAATTCTGAAATGATTTTAGATACATTGCTGTCCTCCTTTTTGCTTTCTTTTCTTATCTTTTTCTTCATTCCTTTAGATATCAAGATCAGCTAGAAGGTTTTGAAATTGCTTTAAAATTTGGTTCCAGCACTCCATTTGGCACTGTTGACTTGGGAAAATCTCCTTATATGATTCCATCTCCCACTTTTTATCCTTTAAGATTGTCTCTTACGCAGTAGCTTTGTTTTGTCCTCAGAGGAACTGACTGTCATGGCCAAGAATAAATTAAAATCATAGTGATACACAGTAAATCATTCTGTGTCTGTACTGAAAATGACTTATGCTTGGTCCACAGTTAATTTTGATTTATTCCACAAGTCTCCTTGAGTATATACAGATGTTCATAATGGAAAAGATTTTGTAGAATAAAGGGAAAGGGAACTCAAGAAAGTGATTATAAATCAAAATTCCATTTCTTATTTTATTGAGACACTTTCAGGAGGTATGCAAAGTCAAAACCATTTTTAGAATAATGTAATTTGCCTCTTGCACTCTCATTCACAAGTCGAGTTTTCCAGCGATTACACAATATGTGATGATGTCAGCTGATGGAATGTGTGCTTGTGTATTCTTGTTTTTTGAAAGTTTCTGAGTTTTAATTTATAATACAGTAAATAGCAATAAATATAACCACATTTTAAAAGCTTAATCATTTTTAAGAGTTTAAAGGAGGGACTTCCCTGGTGGTGCAGTGGTTAAGAATCTGCCTGCCAATGCAGGGAACACAGGTTCGATCCCTGGTCCAGGAAATTCCCACATGCCGTGGAGCAACTAAGCCCATGTGCCACAACTACTGAGCCTGCGTGCTACAATAACTGAAACCCACATGCCTAAAGCCTGTGCTCCACAACAAGTGAAGCCACCACAGTGAGAAGTCCATGCGCTGCAACAAAGCATAGCCCCCTCCCTCCGCAACTAGCGAAAGCCCATGCGCAGCAACAAAGACCCAATGCAGCCAAAAAAATAAAAATAAGAAAAATAAAATTAAATAAACTAAAAAAATTAAAAGTTTTAAAACAGAAAGAAAAAATAGTATAAAGGAGTCTTGAGACCAAAAGGTTTGTGAAACACTTTTCTATTGGCATAGTTAAATTGAATTTTCAGACTTGCTCCTTCTCATTTCCTGTTTATTGTAGGGTTGTTTGTTTGTTGGTTAGTTTTTAGGAGCCATACCTATTCTCTTTATACTCTCTCAGGAATAGAACGTGAGTTTTAGTTGTGAGTGGCAGTTCAGGAAGTTGTCTGTAAACAGTTTTTTCATAAAGGTAAAAAGCTGATGTGGAGGACAGAACTTTCTTCTAACAGTACTGCCCAGAATGACTATCTTATGATATGATGTTCTCATCACTGGAGGGGTTCAAGCATAAATCAGACAACTATTATCAAGAGTATTTTTTTTTCCTTGGCTGCGTCGGGTCTTAGTTGTGGCACTCGGGATCTTCGTTGAGGCACGTGGGATCTTTCATTGCGGCGCACAGTGTCTTCATTGCAGCTCTCGAGCTTCTCTCTAGTTATGATGTGCGGGTTTTTTCTCTCTAGTTGTGACGTGCGGGCTCCAGAGTTCATGGGCTCTGTAGTTTGTGGCACGCGGGCTCTCTGGTTGAGGTGCGCGAGCTCAGTAGTTGTAGCATGCGGGCTTAGTTGCCCCACGGCATGTGGGATCCTAGTTCCCAGGGATCGAACCCGCGTCCCCTGCATTGGAAGGCGGATTCTTTACCGCTGGACCACCAGGGAAGTCCTTCGAGAGTATTTTTAAAGAAGATTAATAGTTCAGGTAGGAGATGTACTATAAGGAATCTAATAATATAAGGTCCCTTTAAAAGACACTTAAAATCCTACAGTTTTAGGGCTGAAATCAGTTTGGTTGCATGTGAATCCTAATGCTAATAGAGTGGGGTTCTTGTTAGTTGGTATTGCCTAGGTAAATTCTTTCCTGTTGAATCTCTTAAAAAATTAAAATGAATTACAAAAATGGACCCTTTGATTCGTTAATTCTGTTTATTTCTCCCATATAAAATATGATATATTTAATCAACTTGCTTACCCTTTTTTCATGTGTTTTATTTCAGTTGGTCGCATTATGTTTCAGCTCTTTTCAGATATATGTCCAAAAACTTGCAAAAACTTCCTTTGCCTATGCTCAGGTAAATGAATTATTAAATTATTTCCAATGAGAAGTCCTGGCTTACAGTTTTACCTTGCTTAACAGAGTAGATATTTTCCTTAAAAAGTAATGATCTGTGAAATGAGTTTAGCAAATAAAAAATATTATTTTCACTGATATGATGTTAGGGAAGCATTTCTTAAAGGGAAGAGAGGAGAAAGAAAGGGTCTCAGAAATGAAAAAGGAAGTACCACCATATGTAATGAAATTTTTATCCATTGTAGTTTATAAAATAATAGTATATTCAAAACTGACTTATTTTGGTAGAATTTTACAGATTTTAGTACTTTGAACAAATTTAGCATTCCAGATTTCACAAGAAATTTAGGATTAGAAGATAGAGAAGCAGAACATAATGAGATTGTTCTTTGTTACATGTAATTGGATTTATATTTTTAAAAAGTAGAAAAAATAGGGAGGAAAAACATTTATGATATTACTTATCTCTTACAGTGCCCAACACAAGGGAGGGATTTGACAAAGGATTAATTGGATGGTGCTTTCCATGGAAGGATATGTTTGTAGCTAAACTTCATTTCTTTTTTTTTTTCCAGGGGAGAAAGGCCTTGGGAAAACAACTGGGAAGAAGTTATGTTATAAAGGTTCTACATTCCATCGTGTGGTTAAAAACTTTATGATTCAGGGTGGGGACTTCAGTGAAGGTAGAGCTAAAAGTTATGCTCTTAATAACTCTGTCAGTTTCTAAAGCATCTCATTATTACTTTTAATTGTAAATATAGTGTCACAGTATGATGTAAATATTAGGTGGTCAGTGAATAGTTGTTGGATGAATGACTGTTATAGGCCAAGAATGTATAAAAAGCAAAATACTAAGACTTCTTTTTGTTTGTTTTTACGCAGTTTTAATACAGTTACTTGGTGCCAAAGTACTGTTCAATTGTTTTTATTCTTTTAGAATTTTGTTGGTGTGATTGCTGTTTGAAATAAGTGGGTCATGGAGAGAATTTTTAAAATAGTTTTTATTATAATGGGATTGGATTTATAGTTTAAAACTGAGGTTAATTGAGGAGTCTTAGAATTTTTATCATCTGCAGTAATTACTCCTTCAGCAAACTGAAACCATAAAAAGTAATTTATGTGTATTAGTATATTTTTAGTTTTCATTATTGTTTAATGTAGCTCATTATTTTCAGGTAATGGAAAAGGTGGAGAATCAATTTATGGTGGATATTTTAAAGGTAAGGCTTAATATTTTATGGTCTTTTGTTTCAGTTCTGATATTAAAGCAAGTTTGATCATGTACTTTTAATGAGAAGAGGTTTACTTATAGTTCACTTTTTGCATGAAACTAATGCTGCATGAAAATACTTTATTTGCATGAACTTGGGGATAAATTACATTGTAATATATAACTTAATTGACAAGATTAATTAAGGCTAACTTTATGGTTAAACATGACTTTCAGCATGGAGGTTAGGCAACTATATACATGAAAACTCCTATCTTCCTGCCTAAAACTGTCAACATATTCTTTTGTTTATAGAGAATGTGGTCTTTTGCAAAATGAAAAGGTAAGAGAACGAAGCTCAGTAACACAAACTCCAACTCTGTTCCCTTGCACCCTTCCTAATAAATTTATGGACAGTCTGGGTCAGGTTGTGGCTGGATTTCTTATATTGCTTGAAGACTTGGAAAATTCTGTATACTGTTTCATACATGCATCTGTATCTTCTTTTCTTTACCCAATGGGTTATTATTTCCACGTCAGGGAAAAGAATCTAGTTAATGTTTATTTTCTCTAAACCAAGCAATTGCTTTGAATAAAATTTGGTATTTCTTCCTTTCTCAAAGGTTTGTATGTTTTCTTTTGTATACTAGAGCTGTATGATTGTGTTTTTTTCCTACAGTAGTATTTGCATAAATCTAACTATTGCACTTGCCCCAAAAAGCCTTAGAAAAGTCAGTTGTGGAAATTTATAATGGGATCCAATATTACCAGGTTTTAATGCCATGATAGCTTCAGTGTTATAATAGTCTTTTATATTTCTTTTGGGGGAAAATGGATTACTACTTTTTCAGAAGCCTGTTCCCAAGGTAATCTTTTTTTTTTAAGTTTTCTATGTTTCTGTTTGTTTTAAAGAAAGATTTGTTTGTATGAGTGTTAACAGGAAATTTAAATTAGTTTTCAGGATATTTCTGCTGGAATTAAATCCATCTCTAAGTGATCTTTATGACAGAGTCTTCCCTTTGAGCTAGTAGGAAACAGCTCTTTAGCTGGTTCTATTAGCATGTAACAATTTGAAACTAATGCTGTAGGCCACTGTAATGTGGTTGTTCCCTGTGGCAGATATTTGTATATCAAAAAATTGTATTTTGCCATTTAAATTTTTGTACTTACAGGACTTGCTTCCTTAGTTTTTGATCCTATTGATTAGAAAGAATCTACATAATTTAATTTAGGCATGTCCCTACAACTTAACTTACTGTAGTATTTTGGTTTTTGGTTTCATAGTCTAGCATCAATTGAATTGAGTAATAAATTTACCATATAGAAATTAAGCACATAAGAGGATTTTTAAACTCCCATGTATAGTGCATTATGCAGGTTAATTGGAAATTTGGAGGAAATGAGCTTTACTGTAAAGATTTTTCTAAAATTTTCTTGCTGGTTTTCCCTGAAAGTTAATAGTTTAAACATCATTTAACCAAAGTATGTTACTACTAAAAGTGACTGTTCTAAGGCTGTTTGTATAAAAGTGTTAAATATATGTTCTTTTTTCTCAAGGCTAAGTAGTAAATAAGTAGCAGTTTTTGTTTTTGTTTTATGCTTTTGTTATTTGATTAGTTAAAAGAATTTTTTTCAAAGTATTCAGTCAAGTATCTGTACTGACCAGAAGAGGAATTTCATCCTTTGCTTTCTATTTATTACTTTGAACATTGCACTTTAAAAGTGACTTATAATTGTGGACTGACAAATTTGTGTTTTCTTCAAACAGATGAAAACTTTATTCTCAAACATGACAGAGCGTTCCTTTTGTCAATGGCAAATCGAGGGAAACATACCAATGGTTCCCAGTTTTTCATGTGAGTAGGCATAATTCAGAGATGAGCTTTTTCTAAACAGAGAAGCGCTGTTCATGAGAAAGATGGTATCGTTAAACCAAGTTTAATGCTAGATTCTGTCAACTTGGGTTTTATTATGTTATAGTAATTGGTAAGCTCTAACAGCCACCTCAGCGGTAAGCATATATCCTGGATTTGAAGAATGGTACTTAAAAGGCGTAACTTAAAGATGTAAATTATTTTCAAAATATGTTGTCATCTTAAGAAAAGAAATTGGCTTTGACTTTTAACGCATTTTTTTTAACGAATTTGGGGGCTCAGATTACCAAATCTGGATTGGAACATAAACCCTTGATGAACATTTAAAACTTGTCCATGACTAGGACTGGATGTGCCCTTGGCATGGAAAGCATTTGGTTTGAGTAAACCATAGTATGGTTGCTTTTTCTCTAACTGTTGTTCTTTGAACCAGTTTGAGAGAGGTGCCATTGTTTTCTGACATTGTATAGAGATAAATGATTTGGTGTTCAGCCAGCATTGTTAACAATCTTAAACTTTGTGAGATCTCTATGTGTAATTGAATTAACCCAATGTTGCTATCATTTCCACCAAAGTTTATGATATTATCACTTAGAAAACTTCAGAATGCTGAATTTGATATTTAAAAAACAAACACCTTTACGTGTACGTGTATACACAACCAAAACCTTACTTATTTCTCATCTGAAAGACTTTTGGCATACTTTTAGTTATATTCTTATCTAAAGCTACTCCAAAACCTATTTTTATTATAATCCCATGATATAAGATATGAAAGATAATTGGCTAGCATGGAGTTTAATGCTTTTGATTGGAAGTAAATCTCCACAGTTATGCTATGTATATTGGAGAAATATTTTTCCATGGTTTGCCAGAAAAAAAATTTTGTCATCTTTCTGAATGGATGAGTATGAATGGCGCTTCCCTGTCTTTAAAGGAGTAAATTATTCATATAAAATAAATCTCACACTTTAAGTTTGTGTGAAAAATAGATTCCAACATGATCTGATAAAGTTCAGATAAGGGGCATTCTGTTCCTAAGAATGTCCTAAAAATGGAAAGCTGATAGAAGATGATAATGCTTGGAGTTGTGCAGGAAAAAAGGAAGGCCTAAAACAGTTATTCCTGTATCTTGTTTTGATCCCATAGAGTATTAGTTATTACCCTACTTTACTAGAGTATTTTTCAATCCTTAACCTCCTTGAGGGCCAAAAAAAAAGTAGGGGGAAATATTTTGAAAAACTTGATGTAGAAGCTGTTTACTCTTTGATTGAGGTTTCCCATTTCCATTTTTAAGCTTATCTGAACTGTGAACATGATAAACTAATGATTCATTGGTCAAAAAGCTACCATCTGAGGGCTCTAAAGTTTCTTTTAGATTTCCTTTTTTATATCAGTACATTTAAATTTTTATTTATCTGGTAGCAGCAGCTTCTTCCCATTGTTATATACTAATTAGCTTATTTAGAAAATGTTAGAGTTAAAACCCGTGCATCTACATACATTAGTTAAAATCCAGTATATGAGATTCTCTCTTCAAAAAATTTAGAGTATCTTGTTTTTATGTTATTTAGTACTTGCTTAAGCCTTTTCTAGAAATGTTTAGTATCAAATAAAATTAAAGCCGTGTCTGTTTTCTACATAGCTTAATTTTACATTAGACTATTTTTTGACAAGGAATACCAAATTAAAATTTTAACATCTGTAAATTAGTATTAAATTTTTTAACCTTGTTTTCATAATTAACTGATTGTAGATGGCACTAAAATCACTGTGAACTTGTGATTGAAAGAAAATTTTCTACTTCTAGTTTGACATTTACTTCTGGAAATGAGTTTTCAGTTAAAAGCAATCTTGGAAGTAAACATTTTTGCACTCACAAAAAATCCTTCTCTCTCTCTTTTTTTTTTTTAAGAAGTTTTTATGCGTGTGCTTTTTTTTATGTGAGCTAAAAGTACCAATTCCTCAGGGGTTGCAGGATAAAATAAAACTAATGTTCACTTTGCTAAACAAAATGTTTCTTTGCTTTTATAGAAGGGATAGGTAAAATGGAGATGGTAGCCCATGAAAGAAATAGCTTTGAAAGTCTATGTCTTACAAGCCCAAATTCTTTTGGAATTGGAAGTAGTAAAAAAGTATAATGTACTGTCTTCAAATCGTATAGATGACCACAGATAATCGCTCTAAAAGTTGAGGTTCTGAGGGTTGATGGTCACTGAGCTGTCTGAAGGCTTCCCAGGGTGGCTTCTGCGTTTCATCCTCCTCCCACAGCTCTTCCTGTGGCACCTTGAGCAGCAGTTCTGCAGTCTGAAAAAGAAAGGGTAGTGTGAGAATGGATCATAAAATGCCAAGAACTGCCTTTATAGTTCCAGTTTTATAGACTTAATAAGGACTTTTAACATATCCTTGCACAATTGTATTTGTAGTTTATGCTATACATCTGTTACCTTGTAATTCTAAGGAGTAAATTTGATGCAGTTAGTGTGGGTACTTGAGCAAAATGTTCCTCAAGAATTCTTGAGCAATAACTATTGTGCTCAAGAATAACTATTGTGCTTTGTGCAATAACTATTGTCTTCATTACTTAAAACATTTAAAACCTCCCCTTCCTAAGGCATATACATCATCTTATTAAACATATTTTTGTATCTATTGCTTTCTTTGGGTGGAAAAATTATGTGTGTGATAAAAAACAGATTATCTTCTATAAAGCTATCTGTAATTTTTGCAGTAACTGCTTTTATCTACTACTATATTAGTCATAGTGATTTTGCTTTTAGGGGCCTAAATAGAAGAAAACTAATTGTTTTTGGAATAGTACTTCTCAAGAAACGTGAAGAAGTGAAATATGGCACTATCCCCATGAATCACTGAGGAAGTAATGGTTTGTTCATGCTGAGCTATTTTTGAAGGAATTCAAAGAACTGGGACTAGAGTAGTAACCAGGTTAACTGGATCCTTGTTATTTATTTTTTAGGCCAAAGACTAGGAAGAAGTCACAGCAGAAGCTATAGGATTACAAAGTTTTAGACTAGAAAAGAATTTAGAGATCCTTTGTTCTATAGATAATGGTGAGTAAGGAAGAAAAGACATATGCAGCCCAGGTTATAGGAGTTTTACTCATAATCCTAAAGAAATTGATAGCTAGAAAGAGAATGCTGCACACTGTAAGCTACGTAGGTTTATTGACCGGTCTGCTCTGAATTTATTTATTTTATTTTATTTTACTTCATTCTACTCTACTTTATTTTATTTTATTTTATTTTATTTACCTCGCTGCGCGGCTTGTAGGATCTTAGTTAGCTCCCTGACCAGGGATTGAACCCGCGTGCTCGGCAGTGAGAGCGCAGAGTCCTAACCACTGGACCATTGGGGAATTCCCCTGAATTTATTTTAATATTAGTAAGTTTTAGACACCACAAGCATTGCTGGAGAATAATATGACACATAGGAAAGCATTTTTCTTTTCCTTTGGCTGTCAGTCATGACAGTCTGTTAATTCTGACTCTGATTTTCATTGTCTTTATTTTCATTCATCAAAAGGATAAAGAAGATACTGCATAAAGTAATCATTAAAAAGATTAGTTAGGTGATTTATAGCTTTGTATTAAATAACTGTTCTCCTGGGTTAGAGCACTAACCTAGCTATCAGGAAGCCTTGTATCTAGTCTTACTTAGCTATATACCTTGAGTTAGTTTTGTTTTTCCTTTTCTGTTTGTAAAGTATCTACCCCACTTTCAAATATAAAGTAAACATTTTGGTGTGAAAATGCAGACATAAAAGGAAGAAAGTGTTTTGTAGGTTGATCCCTAAGTTTCTGAATATGTGGAATGATTTATATGCAAATATTGTCTCTCCTAAAGGAAATAGTTGTAATTGCTTAATTTTCATCAGTCTGAAAGGTGCTGCAAAGAAACTCTGGCTCATCTTGCCTAAATTGGCTGCAGTCTCTTCATCGGCTGCTGATAGAACATGTTTGAGTGGCGGTTGCTGTTGTCTCCCTTGGCTTAGTCTGTACGGGCCTCTTATCGCAACCAGGGAATGAAAAGACCCATAGAGCCTTGGAGAACAGGCTCTGTCGTTGGCCACTGTCAGTGGTCATGATAATTATAAAAATACAAGAACATAAGATAATGTCGAAAAGTCAAACTTTGAACTTTAAACAGAAAGTGTGTGTTGAATTTTAACAGTCCTAAATAGGACTGTGGGAGGAAAACATAAGTTCTAGGATATATTCTATGTCATTTAAGAATGGCTACTTACCTGAATGGGAGAGAAGTGCTGATCGTTTCAGAGCAGCAGAGCAAGGGAAGTTGAGGGGTGGTTTGGTTTTAAGGGCTTTATAAAGCTATATTGATATTTTGGGGGTAGCAAAAGTAGATTTGGGGTAGAAATCTTTTTCCCTTCACGTATTCATGAATTTGTGTGAGAAGAAATGCTAGTAAGTGTTAATAACCTGAGAAGTTCTGGCTTTTTTCCCTACTTTTTTGGGGGTAATACCTTCATATGTTAATTTCAAGATTTTTTCATGAACAGATTTCACGACACTTAACCATAATCCATCGTCTCTGGATATTAAGTGTCATCCCTAACATCCAGTCTTAATATTACTTAGTGTTTGTGTGACATTTGTGTTAGCAACCTGGAAGGAATTTTGTATCTCATGGTGTTTGGTGTGTGTTATGTTAATGTTAGTGCTGAATTTTTTAAAGCTGTTTTATTTTGGTGACTTATGGAACAATAGGTAGAGCACTGTAATGTGGCTTGGTTAGTTTCCATTGCCCTTACATGAGCTTTGTCACTCTGTACAATTTGGTGCCTCTTACAGGTGTGATAGTTTCAGGAGTTGAAGGGAAAAATTGCATGTTAAAGCCTGCTTAAGACAGAAATAGGTTGTCTTTGTTTCCTTCTCTCATACTACTTTACAACTAGAGTCACTTTTTTTTTTTCAACATTCATTGGAAACACCACATTATTTAAAACATTTTTTTGACAGTAATTCATGTATCAATGCCTTTATAAGAAATTAAAGCTATTTTAAAATATTTCAAGATTTAATATATCCAAAACCCCTATAAAGAATTTTGTCCACTGTATGTAATACAGGTTTTGGTCTGAATAGTAACAGATATGGTTAAAGTTTAATCGAATTAAAATTGGTCAGACAGTGTATATTCATTGAACAAAAAATTTTCATAATGGAGAAAATCAGATTAGACAGGAAAAGAAAGTACTGTGGCCAAGATTTGACAGCATACTTTTTCTTATACTTATATCTCTCTTGCCTTTTTATCCTTTGAGAAGATCCTTAAAATTCTAGGTATGCTGCCTTATTATTTTATTATTATTATTATTTTCAGTTCCTTAACAACTATAAGAGTGTATGCAATGGCAGTGCAGTGAACAGAAGCTACAGTCTAAACATTTGGTCATTAACTCCTGATGGTAATCTGTTTTGATGTGTGACCAAAAAAGCTTTCAAATGTAGAAACATGAAAGGTACTTTAATTGTTTGAAGTGAATTAGTAAAAAAAGTTCCCTGAAATTTTGTTTTAAGTCTCTTAACTCAGTTCTTTCCATTGAAATTTTTGATTTCTACTGCTAGTAACTGCTCCTGGGCATTCAGATTTTTTACTAATGTATGTATTCAGGATACATTATTCTCTTTCTGAGAAGGATGTTAGTTGATGACTTAGCCAGTTTCTGTGATTTGTAAAGCAATATATAATGTTTTGTTTCTAGCTATTATTCACACTCTGGTGTTACAATATTAGGGACCTGAGCAGATTCCCACTTCAACTACAATGCTTTTCTTAAACGTAATTCATCTCTACATACATATCCTATGTGAAAGAAAATTTAGAGCCCTCCTTTTTAAAAAGCTTTCTTGCTTTGCATAAAACTTGAAAGTATTTAATTTCAAAGTTATATTGATATTAAAACATAGATTCAGTCTTGTCTTAAAAGTGTATTACAATTTATTTCTTGCCATTTTTGTGTAAAATTTACAGAAAGAGTGTTACACCGTGCGCTCCAAAGGTAATGTCTCATTACTCTAAGGCTCTCTCTTTTTCTTTCTTTGCCTTTATCTCTTTAATCCTGTTGTTATGTGCATTGAACCATTTTAAGAAAAAAAACTTTCTGCTTGATCTGTGGCAGCAGTACATGTAAAACAAGTGTGTTTTATTGTTCATGGTTAATCCTGGGAAGTATAATTTTAATTTCAGTGGCTTGTTACCACCTAGTTCCCACACATCTTGGGGGGTGGGTTATATTGTATATAATGGTTTAGATCTCATTTCAGTACAGAACTGTTAATTTCTGTATAAGGCCAAAAGCTGCTTTGATAATGGTAAAAATATATATATAGATTGTTTTTTGGAGTAACAGTGATACTTTTCAGTTTCTAAGATTTACAAGGTTTAAATGTGCATATATTTTTAAAGCAGATTCATAGGTGAGGGAAACTAGAAAATCAGTGTTTGAGTGACAGGAGAAAATGGAAATGTGAAAATATTGAAAGCTTTTCTAATTTGAAATGTTCTTGTGGTTGTTTCTCCTTTAGGTATGTTTTCATAAGCATGTATAAATTACATATTTATGATAGTCTCTGGCCTTAAGGTCTTAACTTACTGAGCATATGTTACCACTGCCTGGGTCTTTACAGCTGTATAGTTTTGAAACGTCAATACAATTAAGAGTTGGTGGGGTGAGATCTCTTTGCCCATTTTAATAGAATTGAATGGCTTGGACCGAGCATATCATTTCCCCCGGCCCATCAGCCCAGTGCCAGCAAGCTTGCTTTACATTGGAATTTCTACTCTTAGAGTGTGGGCTGAGAACCCCAGGGGGCTTTTGTTAAGATACTTTCAGTATTCTTATTATGTAGTCTAACCCAACTAAAGCATAAATTTGTACTTCTGCATCCTGAATTGCAGATGCAAGTAATGGACGTAATTATTCCCACCAGTTTAGGCAGTCGGCCAGTTGAAATTTGTCCTTGAAATAATTGCTCTTGTCTTCATTTGTTTTCTTCACTACTGCACTAAAGGACCAAGTTTGTCTTCAGTTTTCATTTGAATTAAAAACAAAACTTGAGTCTGTCCATAAAGGTTCTGTCCTCAAATTGAGTTTCAAGTATTATGTTGCTGCATCACTGCAGTTAGCTCAGATGTTTTAATCTCACTATTTGCTCCAAAGGTTTGCTCTAAGGTGGTTTTCATAGCACTCCTGTTAGCCAGGATGCAAATTGAATTGAGTTGTTTGTGTTTTAAGACTATCTGTAGGCTTTTCCCCATTACCAGAATGTCTGAGAATTGTGAGAGAAAGGTCCAAGGGAGAGGAATATATCTAATCAATAAATCATTGTTTTCACTACTGCATGTTTGAGACTGATCCCTTATATTGTAGAACATTTTTACCTTTAAAATTTTTACCTCTTTCCATCTTTCATACAGTGGAATCACTGTCTAGCGTATGTACTAACTTCTTACTATGTTTACTGTGCTTGGTAAAGTTTTTTAATTATGGGAAGCACAATTCTATCTTAAAGTTCTTGTTCAGGGTAATTTCGGGTTGCTAGTTTCATGATTTAAGCATCAGTGACTCACCAGTTCGCGAGATTTTCTTCTTCTTTCTTTCTTCTGCCTGTTTTTATTCATTTTTATTGTTACATTGGCTTAAACTACCACTTCTCAATCTTCTAAGGAAAATTTGAGACAGTGGTTTTAAAACTCAAGATTCCCTTTAAAATTCTGGCACTTCTTGAGTTGATATTTTAATTTTTTAAAACTAAATTCTGTAGTGCTTTTACAGAACTGAATATTCTTAATGTAAGTATAAGTGTTACATTTCCAGGTAGAATGATTTTTAACATTGTTGTGAAGGTTAAAATTGTGTTTTACTGACTTAACGTTTCATAGAATTGCCTTAAAATGAGTATAAAAATTGGTAAGGGAGCTTCTAGTACAATTGACTGCCTTAACATGGCCTGATAATCCGGTGACCTTTCTCTCAAATATTATTTCTCTTTCTTATAAACTAAGATGTTTGTGATAGATACTTCTGAGTCTAGTTATCCGCTTTTGAATTTTTTCCCACTGAAATTCACATAGTCTGAAGATCTGTGAAAGCGTTATGGGAAAACTAGCTTGGGTTCAAAACATCTTAACCAAATATACCCCATAAGACTTCCCAAGAGTGACTGCCAGTTTGTGACTATAGAAGCAGCCGGTTGGGTGTTTTCTGGGCCATGGAAATTTAAAGTGTCTGTAATGTCATGATTACTTAGTTTGCTGTCAGAGTGTTAGCAGATTGAAGGTTTGCTCCCTACTGCATTTTCAGAGTTGCTGTGAGTGGCAGAGGGTCACCTTAGGTGAAGGAAGAGGGGCAGGAAGTTCTGAAAACAGGACTCCTGAGGCCTACCTCCATCTGCCTGCTTAAAAGATGCAGACTGACTCAGTATGAAAAATAATGGATAGAAAAATTCATTTAAATATGTGGGGCAAGTGTTAAGTGTTGATCACACTTCCTTCCATAAGCAAATGGCTAGGTGTTTTTTATTCTTGTTTAATTATCTTGATAAATTTTGAGTTTGTTGTTGTTGTCATTGTTTTGGATTTGAGAATAACTTTAATTTTAATGTATATTTATGCTGTGTATTTCAAACCTATATCACATATATGTATACATATATAGTCTTCATGTTGGAGAGAGATATGAGTTTGTAATTCATTATAATCTTGAGGGTTTTTTTAAATCAGTAAAATGACTACTGTTGCTGTTTTTAAGCTTATTAAGTTCAGGTGTGTATCATGTTTAACTTTTTCCCCTATCTTTTTATCTTTACCTCTTTGTCCTCTACATGCTGTGATTTAAACCCTTCTGCTCTGTTCACCTGAACACCTGGTTTTTGCCATCTTCTTTATGTTGATGTTTGTTACACAGTACCACAAAACCTGCTCCACACCTGGATGGGTAAGAGTTATGTTCTTTTTATCTTGGAGAGGTGTTTGGGTGGCCAGTTCAAGACAGATTAGACCATGGGTGAACCCTCAAGGGGGCGCTCTTGATCTCTGGGTTAATCTCATAGCTGAGCTCTTCCTAAGGATCACAGGGTGCAGTAGTCTTGAGACCTCTCATGTCTCTGAAGGGGTCTTTGCGTGGGCTCATGGGTGAACTTCTCAGGCATGTGCTCTTGAGTGACCCTGTAAGGATGGTGTCTGAGTATCAAGTCCAATCTGATTGTTATCAGACTCTTTACTATAAAATAGTTAAGAACCATTGTTTTTAAGGCAGAAAACTAAGGCCCAGTTTGAGATTTTTTTTTTTTTCCTTTTATGAAGCAGTAGTTCTAATTTCCTTCTAGTTGCTTCATACATCAAACACTTCGCTCTTATTTTCAGGTCTGTGGATATGTCATTGATAACAGTTGTCTTGATTACTGCTCATGGCTTAATTATCCTCAAAACAATTTTTTCTTGAATTTGTATTGCAACAGGGTGCATGTTGTCTTTGGACTAGTTATTTCCGGTTTTGAAGTAATCGAACAAATTGAAAATCTGAAAACTGATGCTGCAAGTAGACCTTATGCCGATGTGCGAGTTATTGACTGTGGGGTGCTTGCCACGAAGTCAACAAAAGACGGTAAGAGTGTTTTGGGGGTAGAGGGAGCTAGGATGCAGGTAACACATGTTGAAGACTGTAACTTAAAGATACCTCCTAGATTTCAGTAGTGGAAGAAACTCCTACGAGTAGTATAGCAATAGCCCTGATGCCTCTATATCATACCCTGTATCCAACCCATCAGGGAATCTTTTCAAATCTGACCTCTTCTTTTTACTTCCCCTGCTATCAGCGTGGTCCAAACCCAGGTATCTTTTACAAGATAGCAATAGCCTCATTACTGTTCACTTTGCCTCTGTCCTTGCTCCTCTGTAATCTTTTCTCAGCAACGATAGCTTCCTGACTGGTCTCCTTGCTTACACTCTTGACCCTCTACAGTCCTCAGCAGCACCCAGAGCCATCTTCTCCAAGGGCTCCCTCTCCATCGGCCAAAGCTAAAGTCTTTACAACGGTCTGTAAGGAATTCTGGCCTTCTGCTGTTTCTCTAATCTCTCTTTCCCCTCATTCATTGTCTTGCCAGCACGTTGACCTTTATTCGGACATGTCAAGCACTCAGGGACTTTGTGCTGGCTGTTCCTTCTCTCTGGAATACTCTTCGTTCAGATACCTGCATGACCCCCTCCCTCACTTCCTTCAGGCCTGTGCTCAAATGTTATCTTAAATTACCCCAACTTTCCCTGTTCCCTTTACCCTGCCTTTACTTCCCCCTTCTTTTAGCATTTATCATTTGTCATATTATGTAGTTGCTTATTTTCTTCTCTGACCCAACTAGAATATAGACTTCATGAGGGCTTTGTTACCTTACAATCTCACCAGCAAATTGTATTATCAACTTGAAAAAAAAAGTTTATTTAAATTTTGTTTTTACGTAAAATAGATAGCTAGTGGGAAGCAGCCGCATAGCACAGGGACATCAGCTCGGTGCTTTGTGACCACGTAGAGGGGTGGGATAGGGAGGGTGGGAGGGAGGGAGATGCAAGAGGGAAGAGATATGGGGACATATGTATATGTATAACTGATTCACTTTGTTATAAAGCAGAAACTGACACACCATTCATTGTAAAGCAATTATACTCTAATAAAGATGTTAAAAAATATTAAAATTAAAAAAAGAATAAATAAATTTTGTTTTTAGTTTTCTTTATACAAAACATGTTTTACAATACCTGGTAATCATGTTTTTTACTCTGAAACATAGGCACTGAAATCCAGTACTAATATTTTTGTTAATATTTCTTAAAAGTTTTTGAGAAAAAAAGGAAGAAACCAACTCATTCAGAAGTCTCGGATTCCTCTTCCAATTCCTCTTCCTCTTCAGAATCATCCTCAGAAAGTGAAATTGAACATGAGAGAAGCAGAAGAAGGAAACATAAGAGGAGGCCAAAAGTTAAACATTCTAAAAAGAGACGAAAGGAAGCAAGCAGTTCAGAAGAGCCAAGGAATAAACATATAATAAGCCCAAAAGGGTAAGTGCGAAACACCAAGGTAGTCTTACCTAAGAAACAAGCACCCTGGAATGGGGAAAGTATGTGTGATTCTGTAAACTTAGCTTTGTTACCTATTGTTGAAAAGGATAGCATTCTGTGGACTTCAAATTGAAATCTAACAAATCAAGGGTAGCACAGATGTTTCATATCAAAGATTTACACGTTTGCAGGTGAGAAAAGAAAAAAGGATCATTTGGCAATTCTTATCAGAATTTTAGTGCTGTGGCTTTTTCACTGCATTGTGTTTTATATTTTCTCTTTATGACAGTTGTGTAAACCTTTTTAGTGAGCTTTGTAAGGTATCAGTAGTTTTGCTGCTAATTATATTATTATATTATTTAATATTATTATAAAATGCAGACATTACACATCTTAATTGGTGATTCGGTTTGTTCTCTCTAAGTCACTCTGAGAGGAGTGATACCAATGAAAAAAGGTGTATCGATTCAAATGCTAAAAGGGAAAAGCCTGTGGTGCGCCCAGAAGAGATTCCTCCGGTGCCCGAGAACCGATTTTTACTAAGAAGAGATATGCCTCTTGTCACAGTGGAGCCTGAACCGTAAGGATGATTAACCTACATGTTTTCGTTTCTCTGACTGGTGATTCTGTTAGCTCATTGCAGGTCCACACTCATTTATTGAGCATGACCCATAGTCAGAGCACTTTGAATTATACTGGGGGAGATATTGAATTCGTAAATGACATGTACCCTACCTTTCAAAATTCATATTCTGCTAGTAGAGAGAGGGGGTTTGGCAAGTTGATCGGGGAGAAGTTCTTAGTGGAGATCTGGCAAGATTTCATTACCACTCTCATTTACTTGGCCTTTCATTAGGGGTGAGATTTTGGTTGTCAAAACAGGGTTAGTTGAACTCTTTGGATCCAATCGAGTGATAAAACATACTCCAGTTTATAGTGCAAAATTATTGCGTGATGACTGGGGATAAAATTTAGTCCCATATGTTACTGTTGTTAACTTGCTCAGTGATAAATCCTCTATCCTGGAAAAGCTAACATGTAGCTTTAGATTTGGTCTCAAAAAATAGTAATTAATGTATTTTGTGTGTTAGACTCAAGTTTAGAATTGTTAAGGGAAATATATGAATAGAAATACCATAAAGTGGTTGGTGTAATTGACACGTTTCCTATGAAGAGTTAATATTGAAGCCTGAGAAGTTATGCACATGTCCCTGTTCACAATCAAGTCTCTTGATTGTGGTTATTGTTTAGTTCATTAGAAATTTTAAAATTCTGTATTTTCTCATTTTAAAAAGCTATTATGAAATGGGATATATCTTTGAACTAATAGCTTAACATACTGATGTTTTCATTTTTAAAAATTGAATATTCTCTTTATGACAGTTGTGTAAACCTTTTTAGTGAGCTTTGTAAGGTATCAGTAGTTTTGCTGTTAATTATATTATTATATATAATATAACATAATATATTGTGAACAAATTTTAGTGGGATCCTTCTTTCTGAATATATAAGACACCATTCATTGATCCAATCCATTTGGTTTTCAGAAAGTAGGAAACTTGAAAGGTCAGTTTTAGTGTCATCTAGCAGGGGTTGGCAAACTATAGTCGTCCATGGGCTAAATTCGGCCTATTGCCTGGTTTTGTACAGCCCATGAGCTAAATGTGGTTTTTATGTTTTTAAATGTTTGTGGAAAAAATCAAAAGAAGAATAATATTTTGTGACATGTGAAAATTACATGAAATTCAAGTTTCAGTGTCCATAAATAAAGTTTTACTGGAACACAGCCACATCCGTTTGTTCACTGTTTTTCTTGGGCTGTTTTTGTGATACAGCAGCAGAATCAAAGAGTTGCAGAGAGTTTGTATGTGGTGCTCTCATCGCTTTATATGCTATTCAGTGCACTACACCTCACGGTGATGCAGTTATAACTCTCCAGTATTTCAGGTGCTACACATAAAATCCATCTGTGTGGAAAGATATTTTCAGAGATGGAGTATGTAAAAATCTCATTACAGATCCGCATTACCAGAAGAACAGTATTAACACTATCTGCTTTGATAGGGGATACTGAACCCTAGTTAAATGAAGTGAAATGTTATTCTCCCTGAAAAAGAATTCCACTCTCCTTAGTAGATCTGTGTCACAAAAAATGATACTTTCTAATTTCATTGATAAAACATTTGTGAAGACTTGTTTTCTTTTTGTTACATAGTTATCTTAATTTTCTTCTTGGCCTAAAAATCCTAAAATATTTACTCTTGGACTCTTTTCTTAAGAAAAAGTTTGCCAACCCCTGTTATCTGGTATTTTTAAAGTAGTTTATACCACTGTCTTGTATTTATGGTTGAATATTGCTAGTAAGTTTATTTGGTCATCACTCTTCTTTGGTTACATAACATCTTTGGAAGTTATATTCTGCAGAATTATTTTAAATCATAATTGGCAGGTAGTTGTGTCATACAAAGATAGCAAGTAGATCTATTTCATTAGAACGTTTGAGATTTGATCAGTTGTTTGGGAGCTAGAATTGTGTGCTAAGAATGCAAGGTATGCAAGGATAAGAAACAGGGGCTGTCAGCCTTAGTGAGCTTGCCACCTTACTGAATTTACCAGCAGTTAAGCTCATTATCACTTATAATTCACTTAGCGAAAGCTGGGTTCCACACTTGCTCTAATTCATTTGTTCTCATCTTAAGCTGCACTTCAGAGTAATTTGGCAAGCTTTTAAAAATACCAGTTTCTGGGCCATACAGCAGATTAAATCAGAATGTTGTGGGGAGGAGGTAGAGGGTGGCAGCATTGGATCAGCATCTAAAAGGTTCCCAGGTGAACATTAATTTGTGCCGAACACTTAATAGGCAAGTCATTTGGTTCAGTGCTTTGTTCTTCATGAGGAAAACGAGGTTAACAATTGCCTGCCAAGAGTCCCTGTTACATCTCTCATTGTGAGAATCAAATGATGTCATGAATATGAAATGACTGAAAAGACTATAATATACTTTTTAGTCAAGGTTTTCTTATAGTAATATTGTGTGTTTATCTGGAGCCAGATTCCTGGTTGGGAAAACCCTATAAAATGGTTATAAGAGTCAAGTTTAATTTCTTTCCGTGACCTTGGGCAACATTTTTAACCTCTTAATCTTAAAATTCTTTGTCTTTAAAATGGAGATGATAATAGTACCTACCTCATAGTGTTGTTTTGAGAATTAAATGAACTAATGCCTCTAAAACACTTATTAACAACCAGCAATGAACAATCTGAAAAGGACATTGAGAAAGTAATTCCATGAAATAACATCTAAAAGAATAAAATACCTAGGAATAAATTAAATCAAGGAGGTGAAAGACTTGTACGATGAAAACTATAGGTATATATCTAAAATACTGCTGAAAGAAATTAAAACCTAAGTAAGTGGAAAGACATTCTATGTTCATGGATTGGAAGGCTTAATATTAAGATGTCAGTACTACTCAGAATGAGCTATGGGTTCAGTCAAATTCCAGTAGACTTTGCAGAAATGGAAAAGTCAATGTCCAAGTTTGTATAGAATTGCAAGGTGTCCCAAATAGCCGAAACAATCTTGAGGGAGAAAGACAAAGTTGGAGGACTCATATGTCCTGATTTCAAAATTTACTACAAAGCTGCAGTCATCAAAATAGTGTGGTATCTAATAAGAACCTGCTGTGTAAAAAAATAAAATAAAATTCAAAAAAAAATAGTGTGGTACTGGCATAAGGATAGACATAGAGACCAATGGAATAGAATTGAGAGTCCAGAAATAAACCCATACATCTATGGCCATTAGATTTTTTTTTCCCCAGTGTCATTTATTATATTGACCTCTGGTTAGTACCTCAGTGGCGTGTGGATTAGGTGAGCAGTGTGAGTCTCCGAGAGGATGGGCATAGTGGACACTGAGAACATCCAATATCTGGTCCCCCATGATTGAGGTTCAGACCCTGAAATATGGGACCTACTCATGGTCTGAGAGCCTCTGTAGCAGAAGAGAAAACTGGTGGATCATGAAAACATTGGAGTATAGACCTATGTTATTTGTCCTTCATATTATTGTTTTATTTTAAAAAATTGGCTCCCAGGTGTCCAGAATTGGATTCATTATATTCCTTAGGTTCGTGACACCTCTCATGACAGTGTCACCATTGGCTCATACACTGGCTCAAACATTGTTGACTCATACAAAAATTCAGATTTTTTCTTCTCTTGAGAAATTGAAGAATCCTCCAAAACATTGGTTCTGTTACACCGCAAGGCAAAAATTAGTGGCTACTTAGAGTGCTGTCCCTATTCATACCAATCTCTGCTGTCTCCTGACCAAGAGAAGTTGAAGTATATCACTGGGCTTGAACTGTTATTCTTCAAGTAGAAGAATAATCAAGTGGAAAGTGAACTATTCTATTGTGTCCACTTCACAGATTTACATTACCTGCCTGTCAGCATTTGAGTTTGAGAACCCTGCTCTGGGGGAAGCCCTTACTATATGCAAAGCACTGAACTAACAGTTTTTCATACATTATCTCTTTAATTCGTATAAATAAGTTGAAGTGTTATCTCTGTTTTACAAGTGTGAAAGCTGAAGCTCAAAGAGCTAAATAACTGGCCCAAGATGATAAAAATTCTGATTTTTGATGCTGAGATTCAAACTTTGCATGGCCATTATATTTTAGATAAGGGTGCAAAGTCCATTCCATGGAGAAAGAATAGTCTCTTCAATAAATGGTGCTGAGACATCTGGATTTCCACATGCCAAAGAATGAGGTTGGACCCTACCTCACATCATATGCAAACATTAACTCAAAATGGGTCAATGACCTAAATATAAGAACTAAAACCATAAAACTCTTAGAAGGAAACATAGGGGTAAACCTTCATGACCTTAGGTTCAGCAGTGGATTCTTATATTTGACACCAAAAGCATGAGCAATAGCAACAAAAAGACAACTCATTTTAAAAATGGGCAAAGCACTTGAATAGACACTTCTCCAAAGAAGATGTACAAATGGGGAACAAACATGTGAAAAGATATTTAATATCATTAGTCGTTAGGAAAATGCAAATCAGACCCACAGTGAGATACCGTGTCTCACCTACTAGGACGGCTGTAATTTAAAACAAAACCCCAAAAAACTAGTGTCGGTGAGGATGTGGAGAAAACTGGAATCCTCATACATTGCTAGGAGGAGTCTAAAATGATGCAGCTGCTGTGGAAAACAGTTTGGTGGTTCCTCAAAAAGTTAAATATGGATTTACCATGTAACTCAGCATGTCTACTCCTAGGTACATATCCAAAAGTATTGAAAATAGATTCAAACAGATACTTGTACTCCAGGATTCATTGCAGCATTATTCACAGTAGCAAAAACGTGGAGACAACTCACGCGTCCACCAACAGATGAATGGAAAAACAAAATGTGGTGTATATATATATACAATGGAATGTTATTCAGCCATAAATTAGAGGTTACCAGAGGCTAAGGGAATGAGGGAAATGGAGAGGTATTGCTTAATAGGTAGAGTTTCAGGATGAAGTGATGAAGAAGTTTTGGAAAGATAGTAGTGATGGTTGCACAACGTTTTGAGTATAATTAATGCCACTGAATTGTACATTTAAAAATGGTTAAAATGGCCAATTTTATGTTATGTATTTTTACCCAATAAATAAGTATGTTTAAAATGCTTATTAATATAACACCTGACACATAGTAAGTCCTCAATAAAAGCTAGCCATTATGTTAATCATAACAGGTACAAAACAAACTCAAGTATGAAAAGACTTCTCAGCATGGAGGACTGTAGCTGCCATAATCACCCATAAGATAAAGTAGCAGATTCAGAGCATTGAAGGAGGGGCAGCTTATAGTAAAGTGGGGTAGACAAACAGACTATTAAAAATATAAAATAAATGTGGTCCAATGGGTAGGACTCTGTGCTCCCAGTGCAGGGGGCCCGGGTTCAATTCCTGGTCAGGGAGCTAGATGCCACATGCATGCCGCAACTGGGAGCCCGCATGTGGCAAGTAAAGAGCCCGCATGCCGCAACTAAAAGATCCCCCATGCCGCAAGTAAAGATCCGCGTGCCACAACTGAGACCCAGCACAGCCGAGATAAATAAAATAAATAAATAAATATTTTAAAATATATATATATAATAAAATTTAAAACTGTTAAGAACACTTGAGCATTAGAGTAACAATACCTCAGGATTCCCTAAGAACATTACTGTTTTGACAAGAGACATCTAAAAAAGGATTTTTTTGAAAGTAGTCCTGTACTTTAAAAGATTGATACTAGTATCGTGTATTTCTACTCAGTTGGGTTACTTTTTTTTTTTTTTTTTTTTTTTTTGCGGTACGCGGGCCTCTCACTGCTATGGCCTCTCCCGTTGCGGAGTACAGGCTCCGGACGCGCAGGCCCAGCGGCCATGGCTCATGGGCCCAGCCGCTCCGCGGCATGTGGGATCCTCCCGGACCGGGGCACAAACCCACGTCACCCGCATTGGCAGGCGGACTCTCAACCACTGCGCCACCAGGGAACCCCCGGTTACTTTTTTTTTTTTAGTTTTTGTATTTAAAGGATTTGCTTAGAAAATTGGGTTATGTGGAGTGCCTCATTCTACAAAAGTGTTGAATCTAAATGAAGTGTTTTTGTATGATAGGAACATAAATTCTGCATTTAAACACTGAGAAAACTGCCTAGCATTTGCTTTTTATAAATTTTCAATCTTCTTTTCCAGGAAGATTCCTGATATTACACCCACCGTAAATGATCAGAAACCATCTGTATCAAAGTCTGGACGGAAGATTAAAGGAAGGGGCACAATTGTATGTGTGTTAAAACTGGACTTTTTTCAAATTACTTATCTTAAGCGGTAAAATGTTTTTACCTCTAGGCAAAATCCTAGCTTTAATCTTAGGTATAGTCCAAAATCTGTCCAAGGAGCTAGTTGTATTCTGTATAGTTATGGGAAGGCACTGCTGTTAGATTAGTGTTTACTGCTGTGTTTGAATGGGTTTGAATATGAAATGAATGTGAAATAATCAGTATGCTGAGAAATGTTAGTATATTGAATAATCTAGGCTAATGAATGTAACAATTAGGGCTTCAAAGAGGAAATTGTTGTGTGTGATTACAGGTGAATCTCCAGCTTTCCCATTTTTTTTAGTTTGACACAACTTCATACCATCTTCTTGGTACTTCAGTCGTTATTGCCTTTGAATGGCGTCAGAGATTGGGTCTTGTACCTACCTCTGTCCTATAGCAGATTACAATTAAGAGATATTTTGAAGGTAGTTATTCCTAACTTTGTTTTTAAAGCGCTATCACACACCTCCAAGATCAAGATCCTGTTCCGAATCAGATGATGATGATAGCAGTGAAACTCCTCCTCACTGGAAAGAAGAAATGCAGAGATTAAGAGCATATAGACCACCTAGTGGAGAAAAGTGGAGTAAAGGAGATAAGTAAGTATAAGTACAATCCTGTGTCCTCTATATTTTAAGTCTTAAGGGGATAGAGACATATTTCTGGACTTTTCACTAAATATTTACCTTTAAAATTAGACTATGACCAAAGAGAATATATTTGGGAATGCTTGGTGAAATGGGAGGAGGGCTGCTTGACTTTGGGTGCTTTTAAATCAAAATTCTGTTTTCCCTCACAAGACTATAACCCTCCTGAATTTCTTAAAGATTTCTTGTTCAATTTTAGAAATAATCAGAACTTAAAAAATATTATATAGCAGATTCTTTCCTAGCCTGTTCTCATAGTCACTAATGAATCAGTGGGTAGATAGGGAAATCTGTACCCAGTGTGTGTGTTAACTTCTGACCCCAGGGACTTTTGTTTCTTCAGAAGTGTATCCATGTCCTGTCTTCATTGACACTCCACAGTGCAGTATCTATTTTAGAAATGGGGCTGGCCCCAGAATAGCTAGTGCAAAATATACCAATGGGACCCTGTGTAATTGTTCATGGTAGAATTCTGTTTTTCTCTATGGGCATCCAGCAGAATGGTTCGAAGTTAGAAGAGGGAGGAAAAGGTGTGCGTCTGCTGTGTGGAAGTGGTGTAGACACAGTGGCACTGAGAACTCTGAGTTTTGAGCCCTGATATTGCCACTGAGATATTGTAAAGTCTGCATCTATTTAATGTACTTTTCCCCTAATTTCTGTACTAAGTAGTTTAACTAAAACCGTAGGGGAAAGTTGTTGATTACCTGTATGAGGCTGAGATGAAAACAGTAGTCATGTTTTTAAGGAATTCCCTGGTGGTCCAGTGGTTAGGACTCGGGAGTTTTCCCTGCTGGTGCTCGGGTTCGATCCCTGGTCAGGGAACTAAGATCCCACAAGCCGTGCAGCCAAAAAAGAAAAAGAGGCTTCGCCTAAAGTTCAGGCAGTTATCCTGTATCTGCAGAGAATTAACAGAATTGTTTGGGAACTTGATTTGATTCTCCCTCAGAAATCATTCCTGGAGGCAGAGTGTTATTGAGTGGATGATAGCCAGGAACTCAGTAGGGCAGCAGTGCTTTTGTGATTGCTGTAGTTGCTTTGCTTTTCAAAACTATTTTCCTATCGAATTTGAAAATTCTTGGCTTGGCTCTGAAAAAAATCCTTTTGTAAGTCTGATAGTAGTGATCTGATAGTAATGATCTCTTTGAAATTACAAGGTCGGGACCAGGCCTATCAGCTGTTGGTTTATCCTTCCTATGTGTGCTTAAAGTGTTGACAGAGTCAGTACTTGGTTGTTAACTAAGCTTTTGCTGATGCATTTGTATTGACAACAAATGTGTTTTAATTTTAAAGCACAGAAAACATGCTTGTAAATAATTGCATGCGTATTATGTCCTTTTCTATAGGTTAAGTGACCCCTGTTCAAGCCGATGGGATGAAAGAAGCTTGTCCCAGAGATCCCGATCGTGGTCCTATAATGGATATTATTCAGATCTAAGCACAGCAAGACACTCTGATGGTCACCATAAAAAACACAGAAAAGAGAAAAAGGTTAAGCATAAAAAGAAAGCTAAAAAGCAGAAACATTGCAGAAGGCACAAACAGACTAAGAAGAGAAGGATTATTGTACCATCTGACATAGAATCCTTAAAATCTTCCACCCGAAGAGTGAAATCCTCATGTGATAGAGAAAGGAGATCTCGTTCTTCCTCGTTGTCATCTCATCACTCATCCAAGAGGGACTGGTCTAAATCTGATAAGGATGACCACAGCTCTTCAACCCATTCCAGCAGAGACTCATACAGATCAAAATCTCACTCACAGTCTTATTCTAGAGGAAGCTCAAGATCAAGGACTCCGTCAAAATCCTCATCACATTCTCGAAGTAGATCAAAGTCCAGATCTAGTTCTAAGTCAGGGCACCGAAGAACAGCATCAAAATCACCAAGAGGAACAGCCTCTCAGTTAAGTGAAAATAAACCTGTTAAAACAGAACCTTTAAGAGCAACAGTGACACAAAATGAAAATGTTTTAGTACAACCAGTGGTGGCGGAAAATATTCCTGTAATACCACTGAGTGACAGCCCCCCTCCTTCAAGGTGGAAGCCTGGACAGAAGCCCTGGAAGCCCTCTTATGAACGAATCCAGGAAATGAAAGCTAAAACAACCCATTTGCTGCCCATCCAAAGCACTTATGGTTTAGCAAATGTTAAAGAGACTGGTAGTTCATCATCCTACCATAAAAGAGAAAAAAATTCAGAAAGTGATCGGAGCGCTTATTCAAAATACAGTGATAGAAGTTCAGAAAGTTCACCGAGGTCAAGGAGTAGATCTTCTAGGAGTAGATCTTATTCCAGGTCATACACAAGATCTCGAAGTTTAGCTAGTTCACATTCAAGGTCTAGGTCTCCCTCATCTAGATCTCATTCACGAAATAAATACAGTGACCACTCACGGTGTAGTAGATCATTTTCATACTCTTCTGTTAGCAGTGATGATGGAAGACGAGCCAAGAGAAAATTTAGATCCAATGGGAAAAAAAACAACACCTCCAATAAAAGGCACAGCAGCAGCTCTGAAAAGACACTTCGTAATAAATATGTCAGAGGCAGAGACAAGTCTTCATGTCATAGAAAGTACAGTGAAAGCAGGTCATCTTTAGATTATTCTTCAGACAGTGAACAGTCAAGTGTTCGGGTTACACAGTCAGCCCAGGAAAAAGAGAAGCAAGTCCAAATGGACATGAATAATAAACAGGAGAAAAACAGAGGTGAAGAGAAATCTAAGCCTGAACGGGAATGCCCTCATTCAAAAAAAAGAACTTTGAAAGAAAGTCCTTCTGATCACTTTAGAAGTGGCAGTAAGCCCAAAAGGAAGAATTATGCTGGGAGTAAATGGGACTCTGAGTCAAATTCTGAACAAGATGTAACTAAAAACAGTAAAAATAATTCCCGGCCATCTTCTGATAAGGAGGAAGGTGAAGCCACTTCAGATTCTGAGTCAGAGTTGGGTGAAATTCACATCAAAGCCAAACCAGCAACTAAGTCTTCAGCAGGTACTTTACTGCCTGATGGTAATAGTGCCTGGAAATCAAGCAAACAGCGGTCATCAACCTCTGATTCTGAGGGGTTCTATTCCAATTCAGAAAACAGTAGAGGAAAACCCCACAAGCATAAACACAGCTCTAAGGAGCATCTTAAAAGGGAACATACCAAAAAAGCAAAAGAGAAATTGAAAGGGAAAAAAGAGAAAAAACACAAGGCTCCAAAACGAAAACAAGCGTTTCACTGGCAGCCTCCACTAGAATTTGGTGAAGAGGAGGAGGAGGAGATTAACGAAAAGCAAGTTACTCAGGAAGCAAAAGAGAAAAAACAACTTTCTGAAAACAGGGAAGCCGTAAAAGAAAATATTCCCCAAACTGAGAAGCCCTGTGAAGATGGCAGTCTTTCAGGTAAACATAATCCAATAACGGTTTCATCAGATACTGATCAGCCTACTAAAGATGATAGTAAACTCAGTGTGTCTCCCGCAGCTTTAAACGCTGAGGAAAACGTGGTCAGTTCTCCCCCGAACATTCAGCATATTGAAGAGAGCATCCCAAGCGGAGTGGAGGATCTGCTTCAAACAGATGACAACATGGAGATTTGCACTCCTGATAGGAGTTCCCCAGCAAAGGCCGAGGCGGCTTCCCCTCTAGGAAATTCAAGGCTTGGCACCCCGGATATAAGCATTGTTCTAAAGCAGGATATGCCAACAGAGCATCCTGAGGCAGAGTTGGGAAAACAGGAAAGCAGCATGTCAGAAAGCAAAATGGTGGGTGAGGTGGGAAAGCAGGACAGCAGCTCCGCCAGCTTGGCCACTGCTGTAGAAAGCACTGTGAAGAGAGAGGTGGCTGAGAAAAGCCAGACCAGCCTCATGGATAATAAATGGAAGCCCCTGCAAGGTGTGGGGAACCTGGCAGCACCGTCTGCTACTACATCAAGTGCTGTGGAAGTTAAGGCACTGACTACTGTGCCTGAAATGAAACCACAAGGCTTGAGAATAGAAATTAAAAGCAAAAATAAAGTTCGGCCTGGGTCTCTCTTTGATGAAGTAAGAAAGACAGCACGCTTAAACCGGAGGCCAAGAAATCAGGAGAGTTCGAGTGATGAGCAGACGCCTAGTCGGGATGGTGATAGCCAGTCCAGGAGTCCAAGCAGATCTCGAAGTAAATCTGAGACCAAGTCAAGGCACAGAACAAGGTCTGTCTCCTACAGTCACTCAAGGAGTCGATCGAGAAGTTCCACATCATCTTATCGGTGAGCATTACTCTCTTTTCCTTTTTTTCTCCCAAGGAGAGTCTGTTATTGTTTTGCTTGGAAGAACATCAGAGTTAGGGACAAGATCACTGTTTCCCAATATCTGGGAGGGAATAAGGAGAAAGCTTGTGCTGTGTGACTCACAGAGCAGACTGAAGACACAGGGAGCAGAGATTTCAGGGGAAGAGATTTGGGCTCAGGGTAAAAAAACTATTGCTGTCAATTAAAGCTCCATGGCAACTGCAGTGAGTTGCCGTGATAGGTGGCAAGTTCTCCATTTTTAAAGGAGTGAGGCCGCTCTTTCTACTGTTAGTGATGCCTTAGAAGGGAATCTTGCATTTACAGAATATGTAGGATTTCGAGATCAGTAATCTAACCCTCCATTTTATACAAGTGGAGGGTGAGGGCCAGAGAGGCAAAGTTACCTGCCAAGGACTTGCATCTAGTTGATCTTTATTCAAGGGGCAGGAAATGGTAAAAATGATCATCTTAAGATTGATTGGTTGATTTTTGGTTCAAGTTACGTCTAACTATTGTCATCAGCATAGACTGGCTAATGCAGAGAATGAGCATTTTTAAAACTAAAAAAATTGGTGATGGTGGTATGAAGTTAACAAGTAATTTGTATTCTTTTCTTTTCCTTGTAAATGTTTCATGGTTTTGCCTCACTGCCTCTGACTCATATCCTTTATTACGTTGTGCTTGATTTTCATCACTTGAACTTAAAATGCAGTAAGAATCTTTAACTTTTTTTCTTCCTAGTTTTCTATCAGTCATTTTCTTCCCTTACCCAGATTTCTTTAAAAATAGGAGCCGACATTTACCATCTACAATAAGCATCTCCCATTTACTCTTCAGTTGCTTGCAGTTTGTATTCTGTGCCTTCCCTCCCCCATCTCACTCAGCTGACTAAGATTTTCAGGTACTTCCGCATGGCCAGTGCCAGGGCATGTTTTCAGTCCCTTCAGTCCTTCTAGAAGCCCTCTGCTAGCTCTCCTCATTCCCTCTCAGACCATTCCATGCTTGAGTTGTTGGCGTCTCTACCTCCTCCTGCTCTGACTCCCAACAAGGCCCAGAGAGCTGGTGAATCCTGGCCTTTTGTCTCCGGGTTCATATTCTAGATGAAGGTGCCTGTTGAGCTACTCCAGCCTCCTGTCCGCTCGGTGTGTACTTACCGTTTACACTCAGACAGCTCTGAGCTGTTGGTGACGCTGGCCATTCTCATCTACCTTCCTGTCCCTGCCTTTGGAGTGGGTGGTGTCTCATTTCATACATGAAGACAGTGAGGCATGGAAACGCTAAGAAATTTGCTCTTAAGTTGGGCAGCTCACAGGTAGTAGACTGAGATAGCTAAACTTTGCCCTCCCTGTTTCGGTTACTTACGTGGGCCTGACTTCCCTTCTGGCCTGCAAACTCAGTGAAGTCAGGGGCTGTTTGCTACTCATCTTTCATTCACCTAACAGAGTCGCTCTATAATTGTTCGTTGAGTAAATGACTAGGATCTTATGAGAACAGAATGTGTCTTTGCCAATAAACTGCATCTGTCTTCCAAAACATAAGTACATACTGAATAAAACCTATGAAGATATTACCTGAGTAGCACATACACAGGGGTATTGTTCAGTTCCTGAATGGCAAGCATGAACTAGGGGAAGCAGGGTGGGGCAAAATTGCATTAAGTTTCTTGTTTGTTTTATTAAATATTAAATAGGTATAAATTTTTTTAATGATTAAGGTATAAAAAATAATTTTAAATGGTATCTAGCTTTAAAAATAGAGCTTTGATATACCTAATGTAGTCCTACCCGATGCTACCCTACTTTCTCTCTTCTCTCCTAGAGTTAAATGTTATTCTAAACTTCTATTATAATTTTGTTGTTTCTCTTTGTAGTTTTACTATAAATGTTTCTATCTATATATAATGTTGCTTTTGCTTGTTTTCAAACAAAATCCTTTTTTATATGTATAGATATTCTACGTTTGCCTTTTTCACTCAACATTATGTTCCCAAGAGTTACCTCTGTTGATATATGGCAGCTGTAGTTCATTTTCCTACTTTAGAATATTTCAGTATATATCTGTGTTAATTTTTTTTTAACCCATTCTACTGTTAATGGAGATTTGGATTGTTTCCTCTTCTGGTATTACAGGTAGGGCTCCTATGAACATACCTGTATCAGCCTTTTCTGTTTTCTCTTTATTTTATTCTGTTCAGTTTAAACCCTCATTAGCCGTCTCTGTGATACCCGCTGTGAGGAGTTCGTGAGAGACCTTTCCAGAGACCTTTCCTCTTGTTCGGTTTTCCCCCTCCTGCCCTACTTGTAATTAGTTTTAACAGCATAATGAGTTAATATGATTTATATATTTTCCACTCTTACTTGTAGATCAAGAAGCTACTCCAGAAGTCGGAGCAGAGGGTGGTACAGCAGAGGCCGCACAAGAAGCCGGAGCAGTTCCTACCGCAGTTACAAAAGCCATAGGTGAGCTTGTGAATCCTGTCCTACTGTGGGGTCTCCATCTGTCTTCTTTTGAAGGCCTGCCCTGCACAGGCAGAGTGGGGTAGCTGTTGAAAAGGGTCTTGTCATTGCTGACTATCAGACAGGCCTACTTACTCACCTAGTTCTTTCTTTCCAAGAGCTATTGAATTCTTACTGGCTGATCTCAAGATGGGATCTTATCAGAGTGAGGAAAGAGAAGCAGTAGAAATATTTAAAAGAGGCCCTGACTACCACCTGAACCCCCAGTACATCCTCGTTAACCTAAGTTTCCATCTGCAGTCATCTCTTGACTCGGGTTAGATATTGGGAGAGGAGGACTATTACAAGAGGACAAAGGAAGAAGTGTGTGTGTGGTGGGTGACCCCAAGTTTCTGGTTTTCCCAGCTTCTTCCAGCCCCTTTTTGCCTCTCAGGTATTTACCACTGCTGCAGCTTCATTTTACTTTCAAGTGTTCCACCTGTGTCTTCCCCCTTCCCCACCCAGTTCCTCCCCAGCGACTTTCTTGATGTGCACCTCATAGAAGAATTGTGTAAAACTTCTAACGTTTCTTGCGAAATCCAACATGCTTTTTAAAAAAATTCCAATATACTTTTGATATGAAAATGAAATAAATATAGCTGCTGGATTTCATTGTGTGTTTTCTCCTCGATGGGCAAATAAATGTCTAGATTTTTGATGTAGCCTGTCCTGATCCACAAGTTGATAGCCCCTCATGTGATTCCTATTAGGACGTCCAGCAGGAGCAGATCCAGGAGCAGCTCGTACGATCCCCACAGTCGGTCCAGGTATGGACAGGGGTTGGGAAACCACCTGTGGGGGCAGAATTAAAAGGGCCTTGTTTTATAAAGCCCTTATTAATTCCCTTTTAAAAGGTGTTGTATGTTATTGAAAAACATATGTTTGTCTTTTTGAACAGTTTTTAATCTGTTGGCCCATCGTGCTCTAATGTCAAAAGTGATAATTGATGTCGAATTGTAATGGCAGGGATTTATTGACTATAATTGTCTAATAAGATCCATGAGATTCAATTGAACTAACTCAGTGTTAATTTTGTGATATTTTTCAATGCAGAAAAGAAACTATAACATTTTTCTGTTTAATACGGTAAGTCTGATTTGGGGCAGTTGTTAAATGTTTCCAGTACTTGTTCTGCAGATGTGTCTTCATACTGTCATATAGTGCCCATGTTCTAAGAGGACACTTAAGAAGCTAAAAAGAAATGGGAATATATGAGTATTTGAACGGGAAGATTTAGTGTTTGTTATTGCTGTTTAAAGCAGGTCCTACACCTACGATAGCTACTATAGCAGGAGTCGGAGTCGAAGTAGAAGCCAGAGGAGCGACAGTTATCACCGAGGCAGAAGCTACAATAGGCGGTCCAGGTGGGTCTGTTCTTTCAAGCACTGTAAGTTACTGTGGGCACTTAGGGTGTGGGGTGAGAGACTGCTGTAGAAGAGAAAGCACCATCTTCTGAGGACAGAAATACTTCTTTCTCTGCCTGAACTTCATCAACCCAAAGGCAGTTACTGAAAGTGGCCTTTGTATTAAGAGTTGCTGGGTAGTATTTACTGGTGGTTGTTAATGTTTGAATCTAAAATGGATTTTTAAATATTCACATATCCTTGGACAAACATTTCTTTTGGAAGGAATAAGGAGAGAAGGCAACTCAAACCATGGCCCATTCTTTAAATAGGGTTGCTTGCTAGAACTAACAGCCGATTTGTCAGTGTTTTGAATTTTAAAAAGGTAATATTTTAAAAACTGTAACATAATAAAATATAATACTTAGGATTGCAGTTTGTATGGTTAAAAATGTTTATATATTATATGTATTTATAGGTATGTTTTATGTAACATATGGCTCATACTGTGGGTTGCTTTTTGTAATGTCCCTTTCCTGGTGGCTTCTGGTCTTACCCTTCCCCCATACCTTACAACTACAGTCAGTCGTGCTTGTAGGGTATCAGTGTGATCTGGACACTCCCTTGTTTGAAACTCTTCAAGGATGCCCTACTGCCTTCAGGGGCAGGTCCATGCTCCTCAGCATTGCATGGAGGCCTCTCCGCCTACCAACTCCAGCTTGGGCTTTTCTGTCTTCCCTGCACTAACATCCTGGAACCTTTTTCTTTTTCTGCCTAGAGAGTCACATGCCCACTTCACCATGTCCCCTCCTGCCTCTTGAAATAGCCAATTCTCAACTACTCTGCAGGTCTCCACTGCAGCCCACTCACTGCCCCAGGGAAGCCCTTCCTGCTGCTCACTCTGAGATCTGTTGCCCTCTCGCCGCATGTGCTTTATTTATCTTGCCCCCTATTCTATACTATGCTTGAGCCCCAGGAAACTCTACATAGTCTACTCTGTGTGTGCCCTTTGCATCTAGTAAAGTGACTGGCTCTCTGTGAATATTTTTCGAAATAACTGAATGGTGACCATAACCAAGTCTTCTTGACTCACTCTCCCAGTGGTCCTGTCCCTGCCCCACCTCACCCTCACCCCTCATTGGCCTCCCATTTTGATTTGATTTTGATTTCCTTGCCTTTTAATGAAACTCTCTTTGTGGGCCTTTTTTCCCTTACTTCCTCAGTCTAATTAAATATTGATGTTCATTTTGGGTAACATGGAAAATTATTCTCACATATATGAATGGATTTCAAGTAATTCCCCAAGAAGTTTCTTTATTTTATCTTAACCTGATATTACCACCATCTGTCATTGCCATCTTTGAAAAGTCTGCAGTATTGCCACAGTCAGTACCCCACTCGCCAACCCACTATGCTGTGCCTCTTCAAGCCACTTGCTTTCAGGCCACTCATATCAAAAAAGAAGCTACAAGAGGAATTCAAAGGGCTGACAATTAAAAGGTATTTCTGTTTTTGTTTTGTTATACAGGAGTTGTAGATCTTATGGCTCTGACAGTGAAAGTGACCGAAGTTACTCTCATCATCGGAGTCCCAGTGAAAGCAGCAGATATAGTTGAAAGTGTCCACTTTTTTTGATACAAATTGGATCTTATTTGTAAATATCTGGTAACTTAAAAGTTTAAGAAACTTAATGGCAGTCTGTTGTTCTGTTTCAATATTAGAGATGAAGTTGAAAAATAGACACTTATAATTGTTATTTGTTCATTTACATGTGCGTAGAATTTAAAATACAGATATGTCTCCTAAAAATATTTGTATGCCACATTTTACAGTAGCCAACTATGGAAATGAATTTCATTTTCTTGAATCAAGAAATCATGAAATTTAAATATAATTTGCAATATTATTTTAGCTAGATTATTTCTCTCCATCTCATGTATTTCTTAGAATACAGATTCTTTTTGCCCGTTTTTAAGGTTTTAGCATGTACGCTGCCAAGCATAGAACTGTGAAGGAGAACTGTGAAAGGTGACCAAATACTTGTATACCAATTACACAGAACCTTATACATGTGTGCTCTTAAAAACAAACTGCCCAGAACTGATACTGATGGTAGCCAGGAGTATAAGGCAGTGGCTCTGGGGTTCTTAATTCATTCCTTACTTCTTTGTTGTCTCAGAGGATCAGAAAAGTAGTCACCATACAGCCCAGTGTATTATTTCAGGCTGGCGGGTGAGGTTAAGAAGAGTAAATCAGCCTTAACTATAAATACCTGCACTGTCTCTAAAGCCCTAATGTTTTATGTGCTTTCTAATAAATACTATGAAGTTCGGTTTGTAAAAAGACAATTCTATTCCAGTTCATGCTTTGGTGCTTGGTACCTTTTGGTGCATTATTCTTACATACTATACATTAGAATTCCGTCAGAGAGAGAAATGAATTTTTAAAAATTCATTGGCACCAAACATGGGTCCTTCTAAGCTCTATTCACTTTAAATATTTGGAGGGCCTCTCGAGCACAGGTGTGGGCTGGAGGCCGTGGAGCAGGCAGGATTGGCATGGGGTTGTGTGGCCACTGGGGTCTGCTGCACAGAACTGATGCGTGTGTCCCTGGAGGAGTTGATTGGAGAGTGGACTTCAAAAGTAACACCAAGATCTCCCTGCCACCATCCTGGGCACATTTTGCAGGGCTTTACTTTTAAGTCTTTCAAGTAAGAGGCAGATGCAAGAGCAGTTGAACTGTTCTCAGCACCCGCCATCATGTTTCCCTGTTTCAGTGGCCTGCACTGACTCAGTGAAGCCTTGTGTGAGATGGTAAACCTACGACAACAGACAGGGAATCGGGGTGTGCAGTACTACGTAGATTACACACTTTCACAGTCTTGGGTGGTTCCTGCAAAAATGATTTGACCTGTAAAAACTGGTGAGATTTTTTTTTTTTGCGGTACGCGGGCCTCTCACTGTTGTGGCCTCTCCCATTGTGGAGCACAGGCTCTGGACACGCAGGCAGGCTCAGCGGCCATGGCTCACGGGCCCAGCCGCTCCACGGCATGTGGGATCTTCCCGGACCGGGGCACATACCCGCGTCCCCTGCATCGGCAGGCGGACTCTCAACCACTGTGCCACCAGGGAAGCCCTGGTGAGATTTTTTTTAACCTTTAGTTTGAGTTTTTTCCCCAAGTGTACTTAATCACCTTAGTGCCAGTTTAATCCAGTTATGCAGAAGAAATTCATATTGGATGTTTGATGCAGAACTCTGTGCCATCCTACCCCAGGGCTTGCCTGGTGTACTTGGGAAGTGGGAAAGAGCCCTCAGTTGGAGGGATCTGACCACCCCTGATGGATGGAGGGGTGACCTTGGATATATTAAAACCATCACCCATAAAAGGTTCATAAACAGGGTTGTGGCCAGTTGTTTGCCAAGTTGATAGATGAGAATACATTAGAAAATAGGACCTAAGTCAAACAAACATACTTGATAGTGAATACAAAACAATGTGCGATCATATGAAGGGTTTTCAGAAGTTGCCTACAGAGGAGAATATTGCTTTAATAATATGCAGTGGAAAGAAACTGCATTTAGAACCCAAACAAAAACTGCCAAATCTAATTACGTTAAGGAGAGTTACCTTTGGGCAGTGTATTAGTTTTCTATTGCTGTGTAACAAATGACCCCAAACTTTGCAGCTTAAAGCAGCACTCATTTCTTAGCTTACTGTTCTGTAGCTCTTGAGTCCAGCACAGTATGGCTGGATTCTCTGCTCAGGGTCTCACAAGGCTGAAATCAAGGGTCAGCAGGGCAGCATTCCTTTATGGAGGCTCTGGGGAAGAATCTGCTTCCAAGTTCATTCAGATTGTTAGCAGTATTCAGTTCCTTGCTGGCTGTCAGCCGGGGTCCTCTTTCTCGGCTCCTTAAGGCTGCTCGCATTCCTTCTTGTGTGCTTCCCTCCATCTTCAAACCAGCAATGGCCCATCGAGGCCTTCTTCTCATGCTTCAGGTCTCTCTGCCTTCCTCCTCTGTTTTAAGGTTTGTGTGATTAGATCAAGCCCACTGAGATAGTCTCCCTGTGTTAAGGTCAGCTGTGCCACAGAACATAATCACAGAAGTGGTATCGCATTTACAGGTTCCTGGGATTGGGGCATGAAATAGGAGGAGGGGCATTTTAGAATTCTGCCTCCCACAGGCAATAACTTCGCCTGTTGTGCTGTGGGTAGAATTTTACCCTGAAAAGGTGGGCCCTAGAAGCCTCGTTTGTTTTCTCCATGGAAAAGGACAGCCCTCAGCTGCAGCATTCAACTTGTGTGTTTACTGAATGGACTACAGAAATAGCTTTTCTTCATAAAGGGGATTGTTCTGTATTTTAAGTTACTTTTTAAATAAAATTGAATTATGTGTATTGTGCTTCTTAATAGACAAGGCATTATTGGACTGGTTTTGTAATGTCCTGTTTACTGCAAATGAAACATGATATAGCTGGTATTGTTCAAAAACTGTAGAAAATACTTTTGTACATATTGGTAATGTCTGATTTGTATACACTTCATTTAAATTTCCCTAAAACTGGAAAGGGGGGCCTTGTAGACATTAAAATATATACTTAGTCTAAGTTTGAGTCTGTGCATGTTTCATCCTTCTTTATTCATCCAGACTTCAAATAGTCTTTCTGAAATGGAAAAGGAGACATTGAGTCTCCTTGCTGACCCAGCCAGTGAAGAGACCTCATCTCATCCGTCTGTGGCTTGTTTTCGTCTTCTGGCCGAGTATTAGTGGTAGGTAGGGCACGAGGTGGAGCTAGAGAGAACGTCAGGCAGAAATGTTCACCTACGCAGAGAACCAGTGATGGTGCTTGGTCTTGCTTCCCCTGCCAACTCCACGTTTCTTCCAGGCTCTGTTGTCATCCAGCTGAGGTGACCTGCATATAACAGATGCCTTTGCTGAGGAGGGACTACGTCCCCCCATCTGTGAGATGCTGCCTAGGGACAGCATGTTTCCCTGCTACGCCACCTGCAGCCTCCACCTTCCCTCCCTAACAGTGGTTCACCAGGCAGGCACATAGCACTCTCTCCTGGAGAAAACATTCATGGTGATATTTTTAGCATCCACATGAGAATTTGCAGGATAAGTACAATTAACTTTATTCTCCTCAGAACTCAAAGGGATTTGTACTTTCTTAGTGAATACAACATAACCTCACACAGTAAGATTGGCAGAGGTTCAGTTTTCAAAGTTAACAGTAAACCCCCAAGTCAGGCAGTTCCTGAAAACAGGCAAATCTGGATATGTTGCCTTAAAATTTAAATAAAAGTGTAGAGTCTGTTTGCTGTAGGGAAATCCCCAAGTGAGGTTCCATTAGGGTCTTATTTTTTAGAGAACACAAGGATCTTTAATCAAATTCTGATAGTGATCTTCTTGATCAGCTGGGCAGTATTGGGAGGAAATGTGTCAAAGACTTTGGTTTTTTCTATTCTGAATTAGCTGGCAAGAGAATTCAAGGGAAATGCCCCTCTCACGAGTGACCATGAACACTGACTGGCTAGGCATCAGTGTTGGGAAGCGAAAGGAGGCTCTGCCGGTGCAGAGTGAGTGACACAAACTGTGTGGCCAGGTGAGGGGCTGGAAGCCACGGCTCACGTGGGAAGAGCCTGGGCTCAGACGGCTGGTCTTTGGGAGAGGGAATGCACTCTGTCACTGCCCAGAGTGAGAGGTGAATCCCATGAGGCACTGGTGATAGAATGAACTGGGCAGAGTGCCAAGAGGACTCCTGCTCAGCAGGGAGAAGTTCTTTGATGCTGTAAAGGTCAGGAAGAAGAGCTGGCACCCTGGAAGAAGACTAGACAGACCCTCGGCAGCTCCAGTCAGCGCCTGACGAGCGTGAGGCAAGGAATTCCCACCTGGGCAACACACACACAGGACCAAGAGGCTCTCATGGACGGTTTTCTTTAAAGATTTCAGTAGAAGGTAGGGGCAGTGCTCCATCGCCCCTGCCTGCTCTGCTCCCCGTGAATCAGAAGGCCTCCAGTGGGGCTACATGGAGCTTGGGCCAAGCACTTCTGCCTCTTGGAGACCCCAGACCCACCGTTCACCACCTACATCTATCGAACTCCAGCTCCAGAGACTGGGTTTCATGGTCGGCAGGACCCAGACTAGCCTGGGGACGGTTGCGTCTTTTCCGCCAGCCTAGAGTCTTGAGGACATCGGGGTAGAAAATGTGACCCAAGCTCTCAGGACAGACGCCTGCGTTCTGCATCTGGAGGCCTGACTCCTCTGTAACATGAGGCTAATGGTCCTTAGACTGCCAGTCTCTCGGCTCATAAACCCCGAAAGAGGGTGCAACCAGACATGGGAACCAGGGTGCTCGTCCTTTCCTGGGCCGGTCTGGAGATGAATCAGCCTCCCAGAGAGCCCATGGGATAGGGCTCTGGGCTGGAACTTCCCAGTCTCAGGTCACCCAGGGTCTCCTGCAACTAAAACCTCTACCACCAGGCCAGATTCCCAGAGAAAGACCGAGAAGGATCCCAGTGGCCCAATCTGATTTTATTTTGAAGAAATAAAAGATCTCGATGAGCAACTGTTCTGTGGCACAGCCCTTAAGGGTTTGGGGCCTGAGTCAGACTGCCTGCTTTCAAGTTCCACTCTGACACTTCTAGGTGGATAGCTAGGTAAATTGCTTGACTTTATAATACAACTCCTCAGTACTAAGGACTCCTCTATCTTAGGAGTGGTGAGTATTAAATGCTTGGAACTAAACACACATTGTTCAGGGACATTAGCCCCTGGGCTTGCCTCCAAGAGCGGAGTGCTTGTCCCACAAGTTTTACAGGGACAGGGAGGGCCAGGCTCAATCGCTAGTGAGAGGCCCAGGGCCCCTTGAACCAGCAGGGTGGGAGAGGATCCTGGTAGATGCTAGGGAGGCCCTGAATGCCTAGGCCATGACGTTTACGCTCTGGGAGGGAACTGGGCAACCTGCTGGTTTGAATTAGGCCCCCACCCCCCTACAGCTGTAGCCTGTTAGTGCTGAGCTCAGGACAGGAGCAATCCGCACCCCCTCCAGCCCCACGCCCAGAGACCGGCAGAGCCCTGGGTCAGCACCTAGTAGGAAGGTGGAACTTCCCTGCCACCCCGCCAACCCCATGCTGCGGTGTCCCTTTCTGTTTTCTGGCCCTGCCCACTCTGCGCTCCCTCCCCCATCACAGTTACCCAGCTCCATGCCCCGCCTAGGGAGGCTGAGCCCTGCTCTGCGCACACGCACACATGTGCTGCCCCCCAGCATGGTCTGAATCTCTTCCTCCTCTCCGACATGGGAGAGGAGTTTGGTCTAGAAGCTTAGGGAAGTTGTGAGAAAACCCATGAGCTGGCCTCTAGAGGCAGGGGTGTGGCTCTGCTGACCTTGCCAGCACCCAGTCCCAAGTGTCTGAGGATCACCCAGCCCTGCCCTTGTCTCCACAGACTCCTGGCTTGCCGCTGTGGCACGCGATTCTGGCCTGGGATCCCCCTCCCCGATAACTGGTCCCACCCTACGCCCTCCAGAAAGCCTGCCTTGACCAACCCTGAGGGGGAAGATCCTGTGGCATGACTCTTTCAAAGGCCGAGAGAACAATTCTGCCTATCGCCCTCCGGCCACTCCCACCAGACGAGAATCTGGATTCTGCTACATCAAATCCTCTAGTTCCCTGCAGATGTTTAACTATATCCTCCCTTCCAGCCTGTGCAGGTGCTATTCTCTCTGCCTGGAGTACCCTTCCTCTCCTTTTGCCCTAGTGTTACTCAGCTTTCAGTCCTTGGTCACACTGGCCACACCCCCTGCCAAACCTTGGCTGGGAAGTGGGCCCAGGAGTGTCCCGTGCAGCCCTCTCGGCCAGGCTCCTCCCACCCTGCGGGGGAGACTGCTCCAGCCTCCCTTTTCTTGGCTTCTGACGCTGGTGTCTCGCTGTGTGATCTGTCCTGCTGTACCTTCACTGTCCTTATCCCACCAGTGGGTACACAGTTCCTCTCTTACCACCTCCCAGGCCTGTGCAAGGATCCACTGAGTCAGAAGAGGAAGTGGGTTGGGATGGAGGAAGAAGTGGAAGGCAGCCCTGAGGCGATGAGCTGGTCAGGCATGCAGGCTGCTCTGGCCGGCCTCAGCTTGAGGTCTTTGGCAGCTGAGCCGCCGTCTCTGCACCCACCATGGCCATAGAAGTGCGGGATGTCTGCAGTGGCCTTCTCTGGGGGCATGTCCCCACCTGTGCCCCTTCCTCTCTTCCCATCTCTTTTCCCACCAGGGTCTCTCCTCACCCTCCATGTGGCTATGTGTTTTCCTCCTCTTTCTCTTGGCGCTCTCTGGTCACCCCCATCTTGGCCCGTGAGATGTTTTCTCCCTGACGCTGGGATGGCCCTGTCGTAAGGGCCTACCCATCCTGGCCTCAGGGGAGGCCCTTGCAGTTTCACAGGACAGACATCAAACTACAGGATGGCGCCTGCCGGGGATCTTGGCTTCTGCTCCATTTCCTTCCCCTGGCACCCAGAACCAAGTCACTCTGAACAGGCCCCAGAGTTCCTGCCTACTCATGAGTAAGGTGGCATACTCAGGGGACACTGCTACAGCCAGGCATGGGTGGGTGTGTAAGCACAAGTGCACATGTGAGCGGAGGTCAGGGGGATACTCCGTGGTACTGCAGGATGGGGGCAATGTGAGAGTGACCAAAGATGGGGCAGCCATCAGCTTGGAGTTGGGGGCACAGAAAGGCATCTGAATGATGACATGGGCCGTACGAGAGGCCCCCTCGCCACAATGGCGGCCCAGACACCACCTAGACCCTGACCGGCCCAGCACCCTGTGGTCCCCACCCTGCTGCCTGCTCAGCCTGCCAGTGTTCCTTTGCAGCCTCCTGCCAGCACAGCCAGCCCCCAGCCCCCACTGGTGTCCATGCCAGAGCAGCATTCCGCAGGCCTGGCTGCATCTCCCCAGCAAAGACGGAGCAGGGTGGCCTCTCAGCAGCCATCAGGCCACATGGCTGGGGGACACAGTGGGACCTAGGCCTCTGGGCCTGTCACATTAAAGGATTTCATCAATGCAGCTGCCATACGGGTTCTTGCATCTCCTGCCCTGGGCGGCCCTGGGCAGCCAGAGGCAGCCACCAGGTAGGGGTCATAGGGGTCGACCAGAACCAAGTCCTGGAGGCACAGACCAAAACAAACCCTGAGCTGTCCTGGGGTGGGGCGGGGGGCGGCCAGGCTAATTGTCGATCCTAGGCTCACCCTAAAGTCTGAGCAGCCCAGGCCGGAGGGTGGGGATGGTGACGCGGCTAGGATATGGGGGCTCAGTCCCTCAGTGTGAGGTCGCTCAGGGGAGCAGGGGTAAGCCTTTCCCGCAGCTGATTGTGGGGGCCGGGGGGGCCGGGGAGGGAGCCCAGCCTACCGATTTCAGGGCCTCCTCCTACTCCGACCCCGCCTCTGTGGCGCAGCTGGAGGACACCGAGGTTAGACTCCGGGACGAACTTCCCGGAGGAAAGGGGGCTCGGCGCCGGAGAGTGAGGCCGGGGTCCGTCCGCTAGAATAGGAGCGGCGGGTCCTGGCCAGGGGCCCCGGCGGCCCGAGGAGGGGCGGGCTGCACCGGGACGGCGCTCACCACGCGTGTCCGCGGCCCCCGCCGGCGCGCAGGGCGGCCTGGCCCTTTAAGCGTCCAGACGGCGGCCCCAGCTGACGCGCGGGCTCCAATCGGCGCCCCGCGCCCCCCGCCCGCCGCGCCCGAGGCTCTGGGGCCGCAGCTGCTCGGCGGCTGGACTCGCCGCGGCCCTGCGCCTCAGCCCGCCCGGCCGCGCCCCCGGGGGCCATGGTCGCGGGGCCCTGCGCGGGGGCGGCCCCCAGCGCGGCTCTTCATGGAGCGGCCCCGGCCTGGCCGCCGGGGGCAGCGCGATCCCGCGGGGCCCTGTGAGCCCCCAGCGCCACGGCACCATGGTACGCAAGGCCCTGCCTGTCCCCCCGCTTATCCGCCCACCTGCGCGCTCTGCCCTCTGGAGCGCACGGCCGGCCGGCTCGGGGTGGAGGGATGTGAGGGATCTTACCCCTCTTCGGGTCTCCCCGACCCCTTCTCTGGGTCCTTGCGGGCTGGGAATGCGGCGCTCTGACGCGGCCGTCGGCGGGGAAGGGGTTAAATTCCTGGGGTTGGGGCCCGGGCACGAGAGGCTGAGGTCCTGCTAGGCACTGGCGGAGGGGGGCGCTTCTCTGAGCCCGGACGGCACCGCCCTCGGACTGGGTGATGGGGGGAGGGAGGAGGTCGGATTCCCGCCTGGGCCTTGGGCCACGTGGGCGCTGGAGACGCCCTGCCTGGGGATTCGGGGCTCCTGGGCCGAGCGGAATGTGGGGGACGCCTGCAGCTCTGGTCCAAACTCCTGTGTGACCTTGGGCCGGTCTCCCGCCCTCTCTGGGCCTGTTTCTCCGGAAGGACGGATGGCCTGAGTTGAGAGGAGGCTGGCATAGACACCTCCTCCCTAAAAGGAGGAGGCTGGAAGTCATGAGCCTGTGCCCCCTTGCTCAGTCTGGGCCCACCCACTGCTGCCCAGCGATGGAAGGATTGACATAGGAGTAGGGTGTGCAGATGGACGCCCAGGTTTCATCCTAGGGCCTCCAGGGAGATGCCAGGGCAGGGTAGGAATCTGGTGGTTTCATGACAGTGAGGCAGAGTGCCCCTTAGGAGTGGAAGGGTCTGACCATGGTAAGGCAGCCTCGGCAGGTGTCCCTGGCACCTGGCCTTCCCCCAGCCTGGCTTGGGGGGAGGGTTGAGGGCATGAAACGCCCTGGCAACGCAAGTGCCTGACCACTCCCCTTGTCTTGTATCTTAGCTGGGCTGGCCTGGACTTGGGGGTGGGGTGTGTGGCTGCAGCTGGCACAACCAGATGGGGAGGGGCATCTGCAGCTTCAGGGAGCTAGCACATCTGGCCGGAGAGGCAGACACAGCTGGTGGCCCTGTGTGGGAGGTACTAGGCTGGGGGTAGCTGCGCCCTGCTGAGGGGCTGCCAGTTATGGACTTAGGCAGCATCTATGTACCCGGTCAAGGAAGTCCAGTCAGGCTGCCTGGTTGTAAGGTTCTTGGGCCCCTCAAGGGCCAAGGATGGTGCTGGCTGGGCTGGGAGTATTCCCTTGGAAATGGAGTCTTTGGGGCAGCACTACCCCCTAAATTAACCCTTCTTCCCCTGCTGAGGCCAGAGGGGTCCTCACTGGATCCTGGGACCAGATCTGCACAAGGGAAGTGTCGGGCATTGCCCTTGCCCCATGGCAGGCAGGCACTGGAGGGCATTCTGTGAAGGGGGAACAGTGGACCAGAACCCTGTGCCCTAGGGTGGGTACCCCACAACAGGTCCGACATTGCCAGGTCCTTATCCAAGCCACTTCCCCACCACTGCCTGGCCCCTGGAGGCCCTGAGGAACCCGTTACAGCCAATTGCACCCTGACCCCTCACCGACTCGCAGGTGGCAGCAGCTCTGGGAAGGAGGGTGCAGGTCGCCGGAGGTGGTGATGGGGTCTGGGGAAGCACAGCTGGTCCCCTGGGTGGGAGGGTCCCCACATGCCTCATCCTGCTTTTTAAGTCATTAAAGGCCAAGAAATAGTTCCACGTGGAATAGTGTCTAGTCCAGCACAGATTGGGTGGCCTTAGCAGAGCTAAGAGTCTAGGAGCTCTGCTCTTGCTTGCTGTGGGACCCTCCCATTCTGAGCCTCAGTTTCCCCATCTATGTAATAGGGGTTGGTCCCAGAAGATGAATCACAATGAGTCAGTGGATGGAGATGGGAGGGGGTTGGCATCTTATCCCCATTAGATGGATCAGGCCTGGACGGGCCAGCAGCCCCGAGACAGACGAGCAGATGGGTGGCTGCTTGGCTGGGGGGAAGGAGGTGTTGGGGGAGAACTCAAGAGAGGTGGTGGTGAGAGAGGGGGTGGGGAGAGCATGGGTGCTGTCCTGGGCTGCTGGATGTGAAGGGTGAAACCCAGGGCATATCTGTCAGCAGGTTGCCCCTGGAGGCTCCCTGAGGCTCATCCCAAGGTCCAGGGTAGATCCTCTCGTTCAGGTGACCGGAAGGACTGGCATGAAGGGGAGGGGTGGGCTGTGGATGCACAGGACTGGGGTTTCATCCGAAGGCTTCCAGACAGGTGCACGGCGTCAGGGAGCTGATGTCTTTGCAGTGCAGCAAGGTACCCTCAAATGTAGGAGGCTGTGACTTAGCTGGACAGGGCCCGAGGAGGGCCAGAACCTGGAACCTGCGGGGCTGGTCCAGCCAGGCAGGTAGTCGACAGATGTTAACTGAACATCTGCTGTGTGCTGGACCCATGCAAGGGACTGGGCAGCCTGCCTGTCTGCGCTGCCCACCTTTTGGGGAAGCCACTGTGGTGCAAACAGGAATAATTACTTTGGGCAATTCACAGGTACTGGATGCGGCCCAAGGGTCTAGGAATCTGACCCACCAGATCCAAGGGCCTCCCTCAGGCTCCAGAAGCCCCCAGTGGTGTGACCTCCATGAGGAGGCCATCTCGGAACCTCTGGGCCTGGATCACACCTGACCCTGGGGTCTGGGGACCTAGAGAGAAAAGGGTTTGGGACAAGCCTTAGGGGCCTCCTGCCTCAAGCACGGTGGACAGGTAACACAGCTGTGTCCTTTGTCGTGTGGTGGGGAGCTGCTGCCGCCAGGCCTGAGGCCGCAGGCAGCAGCCCAGCCCAAGCTCCGGCCGAGGAAGGAGGGGACGGCTGGACCTCACCAGCCTCCTCCGACAGGGCAGTGGGGCCGTGGGCCTGGATTTCTTCACAGAAGTCTCTGCCTCTGCAAGGCCTCAGGCCTAGACCTTGAGGGCTGCTGCGGGTGAGCTGAGGGGTTCCCTCGGGTGCTGCCCCAGGGGTGCAGTGGCCAGAGGCAGAGCAGTGAGCCCGACGTGTTCTTGAGCCGTCTGGGCTTAGGCAGGCTTGGCTTTATTCGTATGTGAGTGAGTGTGGAAGAGAGGATCCATGGGGCCCAGAAATGGTGAAGGGATGCCTCTGGGGAGACAACCCAGTCCTGGTTTGCTGGGGTCAGCCCTGGCTTTAGCATCAAAAGTCCCGCATCCCAGAAAACCCCTAGGTTCCTGGCCCACCTGGACCGTTGGTCACCCTTGAACCTTTTCCTTCCCCTTTCTTCCTCTTCCCCTCCCCATTCCGGGACGACTTCTCCCATTTCACAGTGGAAGAGCTGGAGGCCAGGAAAAGTTAACCACTGACCCAGAGGCTGACATGCAGCCTCAGAAGGTCATGACCCGAGTTTGAGCTCTGAGGAACAGCAGACTCGGGCTTGAATCCTGGTTCCCCCTCGTCCTTGCTTCAGCACCTTCCCTGTAACATGGAACCAGGAGTGATGGGTGGGTGGCCACCTCCCAGATGGCCTTGACCTGACCTGTGCCCTCTGCCCCCCAGTTGCTGGTTGAGAAGACGACGGACTCACCGGCGGCCGAGTTCTCGCTGGTGGAGGACGTGGCGCTGCACTTCGCCTGCTTGATGGGCCGCCTGAACGAGCAGCGCCTCTTCCAGCCTGACCTGTGCGACGTGGACCTGGTGCTGGTGCCCCAGCGCAGCGTCTTCCCGGCCCACAAGGGCGTGCTGGCCGCCTACAGCCAGTTCTTCCACTCACTCTTCACCCAGAACAAGCAGCTGCAGCGCGTGGAGCTGTCCCTGGAGGCGCTGGCACCCGGCGGCCTGCAGCAGATCCTCAACTTCATCTACACGTCCAAGCTGCTGGTCAACGCAGCCAACGTCCACGAGGTGCTCAGCGCCGCCTTGCTGCTGCAGATGGCCGACATCGCCGCATCCTGCCAGGAGCTGCTGGACGCCCGCTCCCTCGGCCCCCCGGGCCCCGGCGCCGTGGCCCTTGCCCAGCCGGCCGCCAGCTGCACCCCGGCCGCACCGCCCTACTACTGTGACATCAAGCAGGAGGCCGACGCCCCGGGCCTGCCCAAGATCTACGCCCGTGAGGGCCCTGACCCCTACTCGGTGCGCGTTGAGGACGGGGCTGGGGCCACAGGTGGCACGGTGCCTGCCACCATCGGGCCGCCTCAGCCCTTCTTCAAGGAGGAGAAGGAGGGTGGCGTCGAGGAGGCCGGCCGGCCCCCGGCGAGCTTGTGCAAGCTGGAGGGCGGGGAGGAGCTGGAGGAGGAGCTTGGGGGTTCTGGCACCTACAGTCACCGGGAGCAGTCCCAGATCATCGTGGAGGTGAACCTCAACAACCAGACGCTGCACGTGTCCACAGGGCCCGAGGGGAAGCCGGGCGCCGCCACAGGCCCGGCCACCATGGTGCTGGGCGGGGAGGACGGGCTGCAGAGACACTCGGAGGATGAGGAGGCCGATGAGGAGGAGGAGGAGGAAGAGGAGGAGGAAGAGGAGGGCGGTGGCAGTGGAGGGGGGGAGGAGGAGGAGGAGGAGGAGGAGGAGGAGGAGGGGGGCGGCAGTCAGGGGGAGGAGGACGAGGAGGAGGAGGGGGAGGAGCACAGCGAGCAGGAGGAGGAGGAGGAGGGGGAGGGGCACAGCGAGCAGGGTCAGGAGAGCTCGGAGGAGGAGGAGGAGGATGGGGAGGAGGGGGAGGAGGATGGGGAGGCGGGGGGCAGGCAGGGGCCGGGGTGCCGCGGTAGCGGGGCAGACGCCCCTCCCCACAGTCGCATGGCAACGCGGTCTGCCCGGCGCCGGGGCCTCCCTGAGCCTGAGGAGGCTGGGCGGCAAGGTGGGAAGCGGCCAAAGCCACCTGCAGGAGGGTCTCCTGCCCCAGCCCGAGGGCCACAGGCCGCTGACGGTCTGGGGGCCAAGGTGAAGCTGGAGGAGAAGCAGCACCATCCGTGCCAGAAGTGCCCGCGTGTTTTCAACAACCGCTGGTACCTGGAGAAGCATATGAACGTGACCCACAGCCGCATGCAGATCTGCGACCAGTGCGGCAAGCGCTTCCTGCTAGAGAGTGAGCTGCTGCTACACCGGCAGACAGACTGCGAGCGCAACATCCAGGTGGGCCTCGGGGTGGGTTCACGGGGCCCACAGGGGCAGCCATCCAGGCTGGGCCAGGCTGGAACTGGGCCCCGGGCACCCAGTGTCCTGCTACCTGCGTTGCCCACACAGTCTGCAGAGACCAGGCTTGGCCCCCTGGACAGGGGGACCAGCCCAGGCCCAAGGGTGAGCCCAGGGTGGTGAGAGCTCAAGGGATAACGTCAGGGAGAGCTTCCTGGAGGAGGTGGATAGAGCTGGGCTTCGGCACGTGCAGAGACGTGCAGATAGGGGGAGAACACACAGTACCCTTGGCCGGAGGGGCAGAGGGGAGCCTGGACTCGGGAGGATGAGAGTTGTCTGAGCACGTGAGGCTGGGGGACAGCCAGCTCTGAGGAGGGATGAGTCAGTGTTTTAGTAAATGTCTGGGCTGCCGCAAGGCCAACAGGGCCACCGTGTATAGTTTCTCAGACTGTGCACCGCGCGAAAGCACAGGTGAGGGGAGGAGGGGTTTGCCCAGAAGGGGGCGCCATTTCCCACTTCCTGCAAAGGCCGAAAGGAGCAAGGGGCAGCGGAGCAGGAAGAAACCCCTGCATTCAGCTCTTTGGAGGTACCAGCTGGCCTGGGCCTGGGAAAAGGGACCGGATGAGCAGTTTGGGAAGCACAGGGGCTGCCGGGGCCAAACAGGGGAGTTGGGCTGGCTGCCAAGCCTTGAGCCAGCCTGAGTCTGGGCCAGCCCAGCCTTTCAGGGTGCAGGCAGCACAGGGCCAGCCAGGCTGGTTTTTGCCTTTTTTGACTGGCAGTGAGGTTGGGGGGCAGTAGGTAGGCGGGTGCTAATTGCCTGAACTAATTGCTAATTGCAGTGCCCTGTGGAGAAAGTGTTATCTGGGGTTACCTGGATGCCTGCCCCACCCTCGTGCCCACGCTCCCACTTGCCGGCCTGCTGGGCTGCCCTTTGACTCTCCGTGTGCACACACCTGAGCTTCCCTCCCGAAGGGGAAAGACGCTTGTACCTCTTCTGTCCTGGGCACCCTGACCCAGTTTCTGCCCGAGCCCTGGCCTGCTGCAGGGATGGGTAGGACAAGGGCCCAGGAGAAGAGGAGGAGGGGAGTGTGGCCCTCAAGTTTCCCGCCACCGTCTATTGCCTGATAGGCCCTTGTACCTCCTACAGTCCCCAGTCCTTTGGAATCTGTCTCCTTGGGGATCTCCATGGTGTCAGGGCATGGGTCCCAGCGGGGGGAGGCAGCAGAGAAAATGGCCCAGCTCTGCCAGGACCTGTTATCTGAGGGACTTCTCCATGAACTGAGTAGCCTCCTCACCCACTGTGGTCCTTCAGCCAGTTATGTGTCTCTTCTTTGTAGAAAGATGCCTTGTTGAAATGAGCACAGAGGAGGGACTTCCTGGAAGAGGTGGCCCCTGACCCTAGTGAGTTCAGGATGAGGGACCCACCCTGGGTGGGTGGGTAGGTGGGTAAGTATTTAGGGACTTACCACCCCCAACTCTCAGAACATCACATCTGGCTAGTCCTTGGACATCAAGGCCTCTCTCTCCAGCACAGTTCAGGTGGGGAAACTGAGGCCCAGAGAGGGGCAGTGACTAGTCCTAGGTCACATGGTCCTGACCCAGAGCCTAAAGTCTTCTCACCCCACAGTGTGTGACGTGTGGCAAAGCTTTTAAGAAGCTCTGGTCCCTCCACGAGCACAATAAGATTGTGCACGGCTACGCAGAAAAGAAGTTCTCCTGTGAGATTTGTGAGAAGAAGTTCTACACCATGGCTCACGTGCGCAAGCACATGGTCGGTAAGTCCAGGCTGGTGAGGGATGGAGCCTGAGGTCCAAGCGGGCCAGCTGCTGGGTGTTCTGGGAAACACTTCACACTCCAAGGGCAATATGAAGGGGTGAGAAGGCCCCTCGTAGCTGGGAGGTAGGGGGTGGGGGGCTGCTTGCAGTGGCAGGTGTGTCCTGGACAGGCTCTGGGGCCAGGGCTGCCATGCAGAGTTGGGCAGGTTGCACATGGCACAAGGACTCCTGGACAAGATGGCAGGTGGGGACCAGAATCCAGCTAGCACACTGCCAGCCAGGCTGTGCATCCTGACATGGGGCTGTGTCCACCAGAGCACCTTTTCCTAAATTACATGAAGTGCCATAGGGGCTGACACAGGCCCAGTCTCAGTTTGAGGACAGCTGTGCCTCTGATAGGGCTTCAGGCGTCTCTGAACGCAACCCTCCCCCAGGGGTCATACCTGGACACGGTAAGGAGGCACCCAAGTGTGTTTTGGGCCACTTCATTGCCTTGGGCATGGCTCTCCCTCCGCTCTAGGTGGGCTTGCCTGGGAGTCTGGTGTCCAGGTGGCCCTCCCTTCTTTGCCCCCTTGGGGCCTGGTGCTCTAGAGAGGGGTAGCCAAGGAGGCACAGTGTACCCTGGCCAGGCCTTACCCCCGTTGTCTACCAGACAGTGCTAGAGGCCTCCAGCATGAACTGACTGGGAGCTGGGACCCCGGGGTCTAGGTATCGGCCAGAAGCATGCTGGGTAACCCAGGATTGGTGGTCCTTCCTGGGCTTGGATTCCCCAGCTCTGAACTCTGAGGGGGGCCCTCCGTGTCTCCAGTTGCTTCCTCCCAGATCTTCCTTGGAGTTTGTTCTGGGAGGAGCGCAGGTAACTAACTCCCTCTGGATGGCATGGGACCCAAGGCTGAGGCCTTTACAGGTGCCACCGTCTGTAAAACCCAGCCACCCTGGAGGCCCAAGACCACTCTACCCTCTCTTTATAGAAGAGGGTGCTGAGGCTCGCGGAGGCACACATTGGCCACGCAGGGAGCCGGTGGCTGAGCCAGGATTTGAGCCGAGGCCAGTCCCACTTGAAATCCTTCTATCTTTCCCCGAAGCTTTGGGAGTGAGGCCAGACGCTGAAGAACCAAGAGGGCCTCCATGCCTGTCTGACCAAACAGAGAGACCTAACCGGGAGGGAAGGGGCCTCGCCTGGGGGACAGAGGCTGTGGGGCAGGCCCCAGGGTAGGTGGTGTCCTGGGAGGCGGGATCTGGGCCGGATCTTGGGGGTGGTCAGGCAGGGGTCCGCTGGGAGGAGCCAGATGGGTCCCCCCCGAGATGTCATGGCCATGGTGCCTGCCCTGTAGCCCACACCAAGGACATGCCCTTCACCTGCGAGACCTGTGGGAAGTCCTTCAAACGCAGCATGTCTCTCAAGGTGCACTCACTGCAGCACTCCGGGGAGAAGCCGTTCAGATGCGAGGTGAGCTCCCTTCTCCTCCTGCCCCAGGAGCCATCCTGGACGGGGGCGGGGATCAGAGGCAGCAGCTGCTTGAAAACCAGGGGTTGGGGTACTGGAGGATAGGATGCAGAAAGAAAGGGGCCCCTCCTTGATGTCTGCCTCCCACTCCATCCTTACCTGGTTGCCCACCTGCACCTCCCCCCACACCCCTGCCACCCCACCCTAACCCAACCCCCGAAGGTTCAGGGTGGGAAGTCTGCATGGGCTGGAACCATGGGGCAGGCTTTCTGGAGAGGTGGAGAAAGGAGCATCTTAGGCAGAGAGATCAGAGATGGAGCTGCAGGTGGGGATGAGGTGGGGGGCGCCTTTGGACCAGGAGGAAGGAGGGAGGGCCTTAGCATGAGGGCTCCCTCCACTCTGTGGCCTCTTCCCACTTCCTGACCCCCATTCCTGCCTGGGCCCTGCATGCCCATGGCCTCTCCACCTGTGCCCGTGCACTGCCCCACCCCAGGAGCACCTCGGCTGGCCTTTGCATCCACACCTCCTTGCCCAGGAGCCCCTCCCCATGTGAGTCCTTCCCACAGCTCTGTGGTCTCGGGCCAGCACTTCCCTCCCTGAAGGCTGTTCCCCTGCTCTGCGCCGGGTCTCACCCCCTCACCCTCCACCCCGCCCTCAGAACTGCAACGAGCGTTTCCAGTACAAGTACCAGCTGCGGTCGCACATGAGCATCCACATCGGCCACAAGCAATTCATGTGCCAGTGGTGCGGCAAGGACTTCAACATGAAGCAGTACTTCGATGAGCACATGAAGACCCACACAGGTACGGCCGCCCCACGGGGAGGCGCTCCGCACCGGGCCGGGCCCCCTTCTCCGCTAGGAGGCCCAGCGCCGGCCTCCTTGCCTCCCCAGGTCGGGCGAGGCTGGTACAGGCTGGCAAGGATCCGAGAGTGCCAGGGCCGGGCCGGGATGGTTCCGTGGACGCCCGGAGGCTGGCCCAGGGCGGGGGTGGGGGGGGGGCGTAGCGGCCCGCCAGCGACTCCCCACGGCCCATCACCACCCACCCCGCAGGGGAGAAGCCGTACATCTGCGAGATCTGCGGCAAGAGCTTCACCAGCCGGCCCAACATGAAGCGGCACCGGCGCACGCACACCGGCGAGAAGCCCTACCCCTGTGACGTGTGCGGCCAGCGCTTCCGCTTCTCCAACATGCTCAAGGCGCACAAGGAGAAGTGCTTCCGCGTCAGCCACCCCCTGGCCGGCGACAGCGCCCCCGCAGCCCCGGGCCTGCCCCCCGCCCCGCCCCAAGCCCTCCCCCTGCTGCCCGGGCTGCCCCAGACCCTGCCTCCCCCGCCGCCGCTCTTCCCCACCGCTGCCAGCCCCGGCGGGAGGCTGAACACCAACAACTAACCGCCTGCCTGCTGCACGGGCCCAGGACCCTCCACTTGTCCTCGTGGGGCGGGGCGGGGGGGAGCAACACCTCCAGAGTTGGCTGGACACGCTCTGCCCGGGGCCTCTGACCCTGGGGGCTGTGCAGGCTGGCAGCCCCCGGAGCTGGCGGAGGACACCTCACTCCCAAGTGCCCCCTTTCAGCGGCTCCTTGAAGCCTTTACTTTTTGTCTGTTTGTTTTTTTGAAGTGAAGGAAAACGAAAAGAGAGGAAACTCTTGACGGCACCCCCCTCCAGGTGAGGGGGGCGCTGGAGGCAGCAGGTACGGGTGTAGAGGGACCTGGGGAGCAGGTGTGACTGGTTGCTCCGCTGAGGCCTCAGCCAGAGGGGGGCGGCCAGGTCCAGCCCAGGTCACCTTCAGCTGCTCATCCCCGCCCGTCCTGGGCCCCTTCGCTCGCCCCTCATCCCGGAGGGTTTGGGGAAAAGTTGGGGTGCCGTCCCCCTTTGGAGGACTTGTGGGCCCACCGTGAGGGCTGCGGATGCTGAGGCGGGGACTTGGGCCCGGACGCCGGGGGTTGTGTGGGGTGGGCGTGCGTGGCGAGGTGCGACGACCACAGCTGTGCACCGTGGGGAGGTGGGGCGGGCGGGGGCTGGACCCCAGGCATTTGCTTTCCCCACGGCATCCCCGACCTGCCCCCGGCTGCACCGAGGGCCCTGGGGAAGGTGTCCCCAAGAGCTGCCGGGCCTCAGGGTGTGGTGGGCCAGGCCCTGGGTGGACAGACGGGCTGGCTCCCACAGGCACTGCAGCCCAGGAGCCCCTGCACATGGGTGGACCCCAGGGACCAGGGCCCTAAGGAGCAGGCCCGGGCAGATGTTCTGAGGTTTCAAGGTGCTATCAGTGGGGCAGGGGGCAGGGCAGCTGTTCACGGAGCAGCCCATCCCTCAGCAGCTGCCCCAGCCGAATCTCCCACGCTACAGACGTCTGTGTCTGTGTCTGTCTCTGCTCCTGGAAGGCAGCACAGGCCTCAGCCACTCCCTGGGCCTGGCCACAGCCTGCCCCTGGCTGGTGTCCAGCGGCCTCGTCCCTCCTGCGCCTCTGTGCTCACGGGTGGAGAGCGAGGAGCCTGCACAATCAGGCCCTGGGGGTCGGGGTCGGGGGTACCGGGAGAGCCCCACCCAGCCTGTGCCCAACGCTTGCCCTCACGAGGCCAGCACTAATAGGACATCCTTTTTTGTTGTCATTTAACGTCTCCATTCCTGCCTTTGAAATGGGGAGGAAGGTTCCATAAGCTACCTGTTTCCTAGTTAAGCTCTTTCCTATTGTGTTTATACAGTTTTGTCTGTTATACTCTTTGCACCTTAAACCCCTCGACTGCCCCCGCATCACCACCTTCCCAGCATGGCTGGAGTGGGAAGAGGCCTGAGCCCAGGGGGCGGGTTGGGGGGGGACTGGCCCCATCAGCCCAAGGGCTGAGGGGGTCAGGACCCCTCTGACTTCCTTGTAAGGCCCATGGCACTGGGGCAGGGGGCTGGGGACATTTTAATCATCAATAAACGAAGCACTTTATTATGTACAGATGTGGGCAAGCCCAAGGAGCCCGAGTGATTTGAGGATCTAGAATCCAAGCCACACAGCCCAGATGGTTCTCCGGGCTTCGAGGGGGCAGTGCCCTGGTCCGGTTGAGTTTCGGGCTGTAGCAGGAACAGTGCCAGCCAGAGTCTATGTACGCACCCTCTGACGCCCCTGCTGTCCTCTGGGGAGAAAAAGTGGTCCCCTCCGCGAGAGGGGAAAGCTCCCTGTCTGGCTCCCAGTACTGAGGCTCCTCCCACGCCAAGGCTGGGAATTCCAGCCTCTTATGGGGTCAGCGCCGGGTCTCTCAGGCTCCTGCTTTACTGTAGCTCTTTTCCTCTCCTGCACCCTGTGATCTCTGGGCTTCCATGACGTCCTCAGGGTCCTCCTCTCCCTGCTTCCCCCTTCCCTTTGCTATTTCTAACCTCTGGTCCCAGTGCCTGACAGCTTCAGAGCTGGCCCACATTTTCCTAAGAAAAGTCTGATCTCCCCGAATGGGCTGTAGGCTGGGACTCCGATGAGTTTTCCACCCCCTGTTGCTGACGCTGGGCTCTCCCATAGGGGCTGGTGGCCCTGTCACCTGCTACCCTCCCTGCAGCCTTAGTGAGCCTAGGGGACCCTGGTCAGGCTGGGCCTCTGGTCCATGAGGCCAGACTTTGACAAGCAGAGGCTGGAGATGGGTGTGGGGAGCTGGTAGCAAGACCCTGTCCCAGGACTTGGGTCTCCTGTTCTTATACACTTCCCCTCTCAGGACACAAGAGGGGTCCAGACAGCAGGCTGGGCACTGGTCAGATGGTCATTGTAGCTGTAGGTGGGCACGGCCAACCCCTCTCCTGGGAGACCCCTACCCCAGCGGGGACAGGAACCCTGTGTCCCTGGTGCTAATGCTCTCTTCCCCTTGGGCCAGTGTTGGTGGGAGCTCCTTTCTGGCCAGACCACAAGGGTCTGAAGCAATAATGGTACCTCAGCAGTGCCAGTACGGATAGGGGTTCTCGTTTTACCAGCTTTTACATTTCCTTTTTAATTGTTAAAACAAATTAACAAGCACCTGGGTATTGGAGTGAGGGGACTGGGCATCATACCCGCTTCCCAGGGCTGGTGGAGGGGAGGGGGCTTGGGATCATCACCTCCCACTGGAGATCTGCCAGGGCGTCCCTCTGTCCAGTTGGACTTCTCAGCCCATTTGGCCAAGACCTCAAGCCCAGAACCTGGGCCTGCCCTCTCCCCGGCTCCCCTTGTACTCCCCGGTCTTGGGCCAGCTGGAGGTGAGTGGCCAGAGAGATGAGGTGGGCCTCAAGCCCTAGGAACCCAGGCCGGGAGCAGAACCTGAGCCTCCGATCCTGATGCGTTCCACCACGGCCAACACAGCACCCCTCGGGGGGCTCGGTGGCAGAACAGCTGTGCCCAGGCATGTGGACCCTTGATGTCTGGCCCCATGTGGCCACCCCACAGCCCCAGAGTGTGCGGGCGACAGCAGGAGGGTGAGGAGAAGAGTGAAGGGGAATAAAGGCAGTACAACTGTCCCTTGGCCCAGCCTCTTCTTTACACATTGCCGCCCTGACTACTGGCTGAAGAGACTTGGACCAGGGCAAGGGTAGCGCGGAACCTGACAGCTTGGCCGAAGACCATGTGGACACCCGTGCCCCGAGCATCTGCACACCCCGTCTCCCTCCCTTGAGGGTGGGCTGGGCTCCTGGGGAACATCCAGAGTCAGGAGCTGAGGTCTGAAGGAGCCAGATGTCAGCACCCGGGAGGACATCGCAGGTGGAAGACAGGTAGCGGACTCCGAGGAGGGAGCAGGCGGCTCTCCCTGCGGACCTCCAAGAATTATTTCACTGGAGCGCTGGCTCTGTGCGGGATAGGACTCTAGGCTGTGGTGACACGCGGTGACTGAGGCCACCATGTATGTGGCACTTGGTCCCAGATACCTGGAGAGGGGGATAACCGGGAAGGGCTAGGAGAGGAGGCCGGTGGGTGGGTTCACTAACCAGCCAGAGAGGGGGTACACATCCCCAGGATGGGGACATTGCCTTCCACACAGTCCCACTTCTCTGAAGGGAACAGGGCCTCGCTCAAGTCACCCTAAAACTGAAGCTTGCTGTCAGGCCTGCGGGCCTGGCTGCTCCTGCAGTGTCTTGTGGGGATTCAGCTCCTCTCTGTTTCCCCTCTTCTACCCGTCCATCGGTGGTCTGTCTGCTGCCTCTCCCCATGGCCTCCTCCCTTCGACCCCACCGTGCTGTGAGCAACGGCCTGATGCCACAAGCATTATTTTCTATAGAATCCCTGGGAAAATATCTATTTTTTTAAAATTAACGTTTTACCTGGGCATAGTTGAAGAAGCCAAATATTGATACTTCTAGAACGTTCGTTTTTTAACAAAAACCTGCAGTCCCCTGCACCTGCTCCTCTCCAACTCCCGGTAGGCGAGCGGCTCCAATTCAGTTGGTATTTTTGGTGTTCTCGTGCCCACAGAAAGCACACCTCCAATGCTACTTTCCTGATTTTTTTCAGTTTTAGGCATCAGCTATTGATGTATTTCTTCATCACTCCCATGACACGCACAAACGCTACGCACACACTTTCCCTTCCTCCTTCCTCCCAGCATGGTTATATTATTATTTGGGGTTAGAGTAATATTTAGTGTGTACATTATTATGAGTGTGTAAACACTGATCTCAACCAAGCCATATAATAGAATATGATTCCATTTCCTTTCTTGCACAACGTTTTACTTTTGTTTCTCTTAAGCGTGATTTGCTTCGGTTTCTATGTGCTTATCACTGCTGCGTTCCCAAACCCTTTGCTATAAATTCAGTTTTCCTTCCAATATGTGCAAACACGGCGGGTGTTCCATCGATTTCATCACTCTTGTAACCAGGGAGCCGTGCAGCAAGATAACCCTGGGGTGCACACACTGCAACCAGCTCCCGTGAGAAGACTTGAGAATGCCTAACAACATCCCCCAGCCAGTGGTTCCCTGTCCCACTTTGCCGAGACTGTATCCCTTTCAGCTCATTGCAGAGATCTTTAACTTCTAGAAGGTTTATGTCTTGGTGGGCTCCTTTTTCCTAACCCTGAAATTTACCTTCTCCTCAGGACCACTTCAGGGGATTAAATTCCAAAGAGCTTGACTCTTTCTTTCACCCTGACACAGGAATGAGTTTGCCCGGGTCTAGAATTCAGGCTGGAAATCATCGCCCTCAGAATTTTAGATGCTGGCGTGTTTCTGTTGAGAAGCCCAGCGCCGTAACGTTTAAAAGGATGAAGTGAGATGACAGTTTCCTTTGATTCAACTACAAGCCCTGGAGTCCTGCTTCCTCCCTCCCACATCCGATCCCTGGGCCTGTCCTTGGGTGAGAACAGAGTGGGTGGGGCAGAGATGACACAGGATTGGCCATGACTTAATGACTTGATAGTTGTTGAAATGGGATGCTGGGTACATGGGAGATCAGTATATCATTCTCTCTCTGGAAATACATGCATTTCCCATAATTATAATTTAAAAATAAACAGTGATTCCCCATTTCACTGAGGGGAAAAACTGAAGTCTGTACACTGGCCAGACGTGATACCCCACCACAACCTCTCTGCCCTTATCTCCTACTCACCTCCTCGTTCATTGTTCACTGGCCTCCTTGCTGTTCCTGGAACATGAGGGGTGCACTCCTGCCTCAGGGCCTTTGCTCAAGCTGTTCCCCTGCTTGGAAAGCTCCTCTGCATTGGCTTGAACCTGCTCAGGTGTAATCCTCTCAGTGAGTCCATCCTGACTGTTCCACTTAAAATTGTGACCACCTGCACCTGTCACTTCCCATGCCCCCTTCCCAGCTACCTGTCACCGTAGCAGTTCTCATCTGACACCCTGTATGTATTTATATATTTATTTGTTGTCCCCTCCCTCAACTGACGGTAAGCTCCATAAAGACAGGGATTCTTGCCCGATGTGTTCACTGCTGAATCCTCAGCATTTAGAAGAGTGCACAGTAGGTTCTCAATGAATGGATGTGCCACTTGTAAACATTCTAGTAGAATGCCTGGTAGGAAATGAGCACCATGGAATTCATCATAATCTAAAAATATGTCATTGAGTCATCTGATAAATATAAGCTAATTGTTCAGTCGGTACCTTCTGTCCTGGTCTTTGGTAAATGAGACTCTGACTAACAGGCTTTTTTTTTTTTTTTTTTTTTTTGGCGGTACGCGGGCCTCTCACTGCTGTGGCCTCTCCCGTTGCAGAGCAGAGGCTCCGGACGCGCAGGCTCAGCGGCCACGGCTCACAGGCCCAGCCGCTCTGCAGCATGCGGGATCCTCCCAGACCGGGGCACGAACCCGCGTCCCCTGCATTGGCAGGTGCATTCTCAACCACCGCGCCACCAGGGAAGCCCTAACAGACATTTTTTGTTATTTGCAGGAAGCAGCAAGGTAGAAAGGGATTCCCACGGTCTTTGGAGGTAGGCAGATCTGCTTCGGATCCTGGCTCCGCCACCTGCCAGCTGTGTGACTTGGCCAAGCTGCTGAGCCTCTCGGAGCCTGGTCTCCTCACTGATGCTTCTTACTGGAAGTGCCCTGCAGTCCAGGGCCGGGCTGGAGGCCCCTGGGTGAGCCTTTGCCCTTTCTGAAAGACAGACAGGACCACCTCCAGGAACTGCCTTGGTGCTGTGCCCCTCTGGAAGCTGCTGGTGGGGTGAGCAAGCAGGTTGAAAGCACTGATCAGAGGGACAGGCAGTGACATCACTGAGATCACAGAACGGGGAGGTGACTCAGTCCTGGCCCAGGCTGAGGCCCCCTCGCCAATCCCCCCTGCCCCCCGCAAGCCTGAGGTTATAAACAAGTGACTCAGAAGAATGGTGGGAGAATGCCCCATAGCGGTTCACACCAGTGTCTCGGGGGCTAAATTTAACCCACAGCTGCACCCTCTGGCACTTTGGGAACAAGTTAATCTTGGCGGCTGAGGTTGATGTGTGTGTGCATGTGTGGGGGAGGGGGAGGGTGGTCAGAGGTCCACAGCAGGGTGGGCATCGGGATCGGCTGTCCCAGACCTCTACCCCGATTCCCTACATGCTAGCCAGGGTGCAGGGGCCCCAAGGCTGCGCAGGCTCAGGCCAAGCTTAGTATGGACCAAGAACCGAGCATAGACAGATTTCCTGGAATATTAAACTGAGTGTTATGTTTGGTTTTTGATCCCTGGGGGTTTAAACACCTAGAATAGTTGAATCCTATGAAATTAAATCTTCTGGCACGTCTGACGACTTACAGGGTTAAACTCTGTGCCAGTGTACTCGCAGGGACACAGAACCTCAGGGCTTGGGAATCTCAGAAGAACTGAGGCCCTTAAAATTGAACTCGCCCATCTCTTCACTGTGTAGGAAGGGAAACTGAGGCTCAACAGAGGGATCTGGCTTTCCCAGGACCCCCAGGAAAGTGGTGACCTTGTTTATTTAAGTACCTTCTTGCTTCCTTGCACAGTCCAAGGAGGCTCTCAGAGCTGGGGCAAAAAGGGGAAAAGTCTTCCCACTTTAAAGTTGAGGCAACAGGGTCCCCATGCCCAAGTTCATTGAGCAGGAAACCCAAGCACACTGCGTCCAGGGGTGGCTGGAGCAAGATACACTCCAAGGAGGAGGCTAGAGGCACCTGGGTAGAAAGGCGGAGAAGGCATGAAGGAAGGGAGACCCTGGAAGAGGGACTCAAAGGCTTCCCTCTCCTTGGACTGAGGGGCGGAGCTTGGGTCATCCCCTCCCCTGAGAGGTATCACCCAACCAAGGAAAGACGTCAAAGCCTCTCTGTGTTCCGTTTAGAAATGAGACAGCGAGGCCCTCATCTTTCAGGGAGGACAGAGACACCCCACCCCTATCCCATGAGCCCCTGGGCTGAGTCAAGACTGCTCTGGGAGAGGGCCTCAGCCCAGCTGTCCCCTCTGCGTCATGTGCAGGAGGCCAGGCAGCTCGCCTTACAGGGCCCAGTCCACCTCTATATATAGTCCGGCTCCGACAGCTGCGTAGACTGTGCGCGACCCAGCAAGAAGGCAGGGAGTGCGGAGAGAAGGCCACCCACCATGGCGTCGGGCTTGGAGCAGGCGGAGGAGCAGCGGCTGTACCAGCAGACGCTCCTGCAGGACGGGCTCAAGGACATGCTGGACCACGGCAAGTTCCTCGACTGCGTGGTGCGGGTGGGTGAGCGTGAGTTCCCATGCCACCGCCTGGTGCTGGCTGCCTGCAGCCCCTACTTCCGGGCACGCTTCCTGGCCGAGCGGGAGCGCGCGGGCGAGCTGCGCCTGGAGGAGGTGTCCCCTGACGTGGTGGCCCAGGTGCTACACTACCTGTACACATCAGAGATCGCGCTGGACGAGGCAAGCGTGCAGGACCTGTTCGCCACGGCGCACCGCTTCCAGATCCCATCCATCTTCACCATCTGCGTGTCCTTCCTCCAGAAGCGCCTGTGCCTCGCCAACTGCCTGGCGGTCTTCCGCCTAGGCCTCCTGCTCGACTGCGCGCGCCTTGCCGTGGCCGCCCGCGACTTCATCTGCGCGCGCTTCTCGCTGGTGGCCCGCGACGCCGACTTCCTCGGGCTCTCGGCTGACGAGCTCATCGCCATCATCTCCAGCGATGGCCTCAACGTGGAGAAGGAGGAGGCCGTGTTCGAGGCGGTGATGAGATGGGCGAGCAGCGGCGACGCCGAGGGGAAGGCCGAGCGCCAGCGCTCGCTGCCCACCGTCTTCGAGAGCGTGCGCTGCCGCCTGCTGCCGCGCGCCTTCCTAGAGAGCCGCGTGGAGCGCCACCCTCTCGTGCGTGCCCAGCCTGAGCTGCTGCGCAAGGTGCAGATGGTGAAGGATGCACACGAGGGCCGCATCACCGTGCTGCGCAAGAAGAAGCAGAAGGGGAAAGAGGCAGCGGGGGCCAAGGCCACTGACAAGGGCACAGCCGAAGCCAAGGCGGAGGAGGATGAAGAGGAGGCCGAGCGCGTCCTACCCGGGATCCTCAATGACACCCTGCGCTTTGGCATGTTCCTACAGGACCTCATCTTCATGATCAGTGAGGAGGGCGCCATGGCCTATGACCCGGCAGCCAACGAGTGCTACTGTGCCTCCCTCTCCACCCAGATCCCCAAGAACCACGTCAGTCTAGTGACCAAGGAGAACCAGGTCTTCGTGGCTGGGGGCCTTTTCTACAATGAGGATAACAAAGAGGACCCCATGAGTGCTTACTTCTTGCAGGTGCCTGGCCAGCCTTGGGAGGGTCGTGGCCAGTTCTGATTTCTGGGCAGCCCTGGGGCCCAGGAGAGGCCTGTGTCTACTTGTTGGGGAATGTCATTGGGTCTAGGCTGAGATGTAGACCGGGGAGGATGACTGACAGCCGCTTGCCTGAAGGCTGAAGATAGTTATAGGCGGTTGACAATAAGATGCACAACTTTGGTGTCTCAGTTTCAGGGAGATGTCAGCCTCAGGACGGTCTGATATGTTGGAGGCCCTAGCTCTGCACAGCGGGTGGGGTCAGGGACAGTGAGAAGGAAGAACAAGGTCAGTGTAGGGGTCCTGGCCAACAACTATGCATGAGGCCGGGACTGGAATGTGGAACGGAGTGTCTCAAACAAAGGGACCATCCTCCCTTGCTTTCCCATTGCACAGATGGGGAAACTGAGGCCTAGGAAGGACCAGGAGAGTGGGGCACCCAGTCCAAGTTATAATGTGACAGTGGGATCTCAGAGGGCAGGAATGGTTTTCTGGTGACTGGCCATGTAGGTGTGAGCCTTGCTAGTTGGGGGAATTTGGAGACATGGAGGGGAGGGTGCAGTGCTTCAGGCTGGGAACCAGTGAGCAGGGGACAGAGATGGGAAGGAGCCTGCAGTGAGTGGTGTGCTGAGTGAGGCCTGACCAGGTTTGAGACGGGTGAGGGGCACTGTGGTGCCAGGGTTAAGCTGGGGCAGGTGGGGGGGGGGCGTCTCTACCAGCCAAGGCACATCATGGGCACATTGTTTATTCTCTCTGGGCCTCTGTTCGTAAATGGGGATATTACTCTTCCTTGCTTGATAAGGTTGTCTGAAGGTTAATTGATGGTTATAAAGTGTTCAACAGCACAGTGCTCAGCCCTCAGAAAACTCTCCCAAAAGATGAGCCCCTAGTATGGTTATTAAAAGACTGTTGGGGGAAATTTCCTGGCGGTCCAGTGGTTAGGACTCCACTCTCACTGCCGGGGGCCCAGGTTCAACCCCTGGTGGGGAAACTAAGATCCCACAAGCCGCAGGGGTGCGCCAGTAAAGAAAAAAAACCTGTTGGGGTACACAGGGTCGCAGACTTACACTGTAGATTTTAAGGGGTGAGTGGCTGTATTTGGATGTTTCTTGTGCAGTGGGATGGAGTGGAAAACAGGGAGCAGGCAGGCCTCAGTTCAGGAGTTGTACTGGAGAAGGCCAGGACGGCAGCTGGGCCTCCCTCTCAGAGGCCCCTTCTCAGCTCTGTATGGGATGCCCCATCACGGTGCTATAACGGTGGTCTCCCGGCACCTACGCGGGGTGGGACGGTCGGCTGTTCTCAGCCAGATAGGAGGAGAGGCACTGTCTCCAGGCACCGCCTCCAGTCTGCGCTGGCCCTACCTGGAGACCCGGACTCCTCTGTGACCTGGGGCTGGCCAGACGGGGCCGCGGTGGGGCCGGGCTGGGACTGGGGCGGTGGGTTGGTGGGGGACGTGGGGGGCGGTCGCTGACTGGCCACCCGGCCCGCAGTTTGACCACCTGGACTCAGAGTGGCTGGGGATGCCGCCGCTGCCCTCGCCGCGCTGCCTCTTCGGCCTGGGAGAGGCTCTTAACTCCATCTACGTGGTCGGCGGCCGAGAGCTCAAGGACGACGAGCGCAGCCTGGACTCGGTCATGTGCTACGATAGGCTGTGAGCGCGGCCTGGGGGCGGGGCCGAGGAGCCTGGGGGCTGGTCCGGGACGGCGGCGGGGCGTGGCGGGGGAGCGAGAGCCCAGGGCTAGGGGCGGAGGCGGGCTTGGGTAGGGGCTGGGCGCGGTTGGCAGGTGGGGTGGGAGCGAGGAGCTAAGAGGTCTGGGAGTTCCGGTAACGAATCGGGGGCGTCCCAATATGTGTTGGGTGGTGGGTGGATGCAGAGACGGGGGCTGAGAGCGCCCTACTCCCCTCCCCTCTAGGTCGTTCAAATGGGGCGAATCGGACCCGCTGCCTTATGCCGTGTACGGCCACTCTGTGCTCTCGCATATGGACCTTGTCTACGTCATTGGCGGCAAAGGTAGCGACAGGTGAGGCGCGGGCCAGGAAGGAGTGCAGCAGCCGGGTCGGCGGGTAGAACGGAAGCAGAGTCTCCCCGAGGCTGTCAGGGGTCTGTCCTGACTGCCTTGCGAGGCAGCTGGAGGGACTGGGCCAAGGGAAGAGGCGGCTCTGCTCCCGCCTCCTGCTTCTCACTCACTGCGCGCCCCACCCCCCACCCCGCCCCGCCACAGGAAGTGCCTGAACAAGATGTGCGTCTATGACCCTAAGAAGTTCGAGTGGAGGGAGCTGGCCCCCATGAAGACTGCCCGCTCACTCTTCGGGGCCACCATCCATGACGGCCGCATTTTTGTGGCTGCTGGGGTCACAGACACAGGGCTGACCAGTTCAGCTGAGGTGTACAACATCGTGGACGGCAAGTATGGCTGCTTCCCCCCTCCCTGCCCCCGTTCCACTGGACAGCCAGGGACGAAGGGCCCCACTGTACCAGCCTGGCTGTGTGGCTTTGGGCCTATGTCAGACCTCCCTGTGTCTGCCCTGGCAGGAAACATAGCCTCTGTCTTGAGTCTCCACCGTGCAGCTTGGACATCAGCACAGAACTAGCCCCTCTACTCTGATCAGCAGTGAGGTGGGCTTCCCCCACAAGGGTTGTGGCCAGCCTGGTCTGCAGGAGAGAGCTCCCCGGAGATGCCAGGTTCCTCGTTCAGAGACTCGTACCAGGCACTGGCCTGGTGCTAGGGATACAGCAGTGACTGAGACAGAAGCTGCCCTGCCCTGGGAGATCGGGAAGAAAACTGAGCAGGCAGACCAGTTGGACTCACTAGCTAAAGAGGTGGTGGGAGAAGGATGCCCAAAGGCAAAGGAAGGCTGGTGCCAAGGCATTTAGGAGAAAAAAGGCAGGCTCACTGGAGGAGAGGGCATTGGTCAGGTTGGATGGAGTGTGTGGTGGGTGAAGGGAGGTGGGGATTGTGGGTACTGGGGCTGGAGAGGGGGCAGTCGGGCTGAGGGACTTTATCCTGAGAGTAATGAAATGCCTCTGACGGGTTTTAAGCTCCCTTCTGTGTTTTCCTAAGATGCCTCATGGCAGCTCATGTAGAGAAGAGATTAGGGATTTCCTAGGAGGCAGGGGTACAGCTGTATAGCAAGAAGTGATGGTGGTCTGGAGCTGGGGGTACAGCAGGGATGGGGCAGAGAGGATGCGCTGGAGAAAGACTAAGGCCAGCGCTTTTCATGTGCCCATGAATCCCTGGGGATCACGCTCTGAATGCAGATTCTGATTCTCAGGTATGGGGAGGGACCTCAGAGTATATTTCTAATAAACTCCCTGGTGATGCTGACGCTGCCAGTCCATGGACCATACTCAGTAGCAAGAGTTTAGCAGACAGAAGAAACAGGATGTAGCAATTGATTGGATGGTGGGCGTGAGAGGGAGAGGTGGATGCTTTTGAGTGAGGATGAGAGGTCATTTTTTTAAATTAATTAATTTATTCATTTATTTTTGGCTGTGTTGGGTCTTCGTTGCTGCGCGCAGGCTTTCTCTAGCTGTGGCGAATGGGGGCTACTATTCGTTGTGGTGCGCAGGCTTCTCATTGTGGTGGCTTCTCTTGTTGAGGAGCACGGGCTCTAGGCGTGCAGGCTTCAGTAGTTGTGGCACGTGGGCTCAGTAGTTGTGGTGCACAGACTTAGCTGCTCCGCAGCATGCGGTATCTTCCCAGAACAGGGCTCGAACCCGTGTCCCCTGCATTGGCAGACGGATTCTTAACCACTGTGCCACCAGGGAAGTCCCAAGGAGGTCATTTATCGAAGGACTGTTGGAGTTAGGTAGGAAAAGTGAGGGTCGAGTTAAAACATGTGGATTTGAGGTGCCTGGGTGTCCAGAAGGAGCGCACTAGGGCAAAGAGAGAGCTCGAGGGTGAGATCTGGGGAGGGGGCCAGTACTCGGAGGGGACAAGCTCCCTCAGGGAGAGGATGTTAGTGGGAGAAGCCGAGGCCCAAGCCCTGGGGGCAGCAGGGGCAGATGCATTATTCAGCAAGGAATCCCAAGAGGTGAGGCTGGGAGGTGGGAAATGAAGAAAGTCACATCAGCAGAAGTGCATATGTGGACCCTGGATTCCAGAGCCCTGTGGTGGCTGGGGACCCGAGAGCAGTTTTGGAGGGATGAAGACCCAACTTCGGGAGCCAGGGGAGGGGAGTGAAGGCACCTTGAGAGTCACTGGGCCGTGAAGGGGAGAAAAGGGACGGGGCAGGAGTTCAAGGGATGGTCTCAATGGTCACTGAGGTAGCAAGCTGGAGTTGGTTCAGGAGCAAAGGCGGGACATTGGGGAGAGCCCTGGTGGGTTTCATGGGGCAGGTTAGATGGAATGACAAGGAGACAGTGGAGGGAAACGGGAGGGGCAAGAGAATGGGGAAGAAGTGAAGACCAGAGGGCATTCCCGAGAGGTCAGGAAGCAGGCTGGGCTGGGAGCACGGGTGCCTGGGGGTCAGATTTTGCAGGGTGCAGCTGAAGCTGTGAGTGCTGGCGGGCGACAGTCACTGGGCTCGCTGCGGCCCCCCGGGGGCGGGTGAGGCACCTCCTCACGCCCCCTCCTTCCTGCCAGGTGGGCGCCCTTTGAGGCCTTCCCACAAGAGCGCAGCTCGCTCAGCCTGGTCAGCCTGGCGGGCACGCTCTATGCCATCGGCGGCTTTGCCACACTGGAGACTGAGTCCGGGGAGCTGGTTCCCACAGAGCTCAACGACATCTGGAGGTGAGCCTGGCCCTAGGGAGGTGAGGGGAATCATGAGCAAGGCCAGCTGGGCACCGAGGCAGTGCCCAGCAGGCTCACCTGTGGGCAGAGCTGATCCCTCTTCCAGGAAATCCTGTGGGCACAGGGCAGCAGACATGCCTCGCTCAGCCCAGGGTCTCTCCAGTTTGTTGGGAAAGTCTGGGTTTGCACACATGGTACCACGCCCCCCTGTGGGGCATCGACAGTGTCAGTCAGGACCTGGTGCCAAGGTTAGGGCCCAGACCCACAGAACCGGGCCCCAGGGAGCAGAGCAGGCCCTGAGAGGCAGCCAGTTCTTCCCTCTCCCCTCCCTCCTGACGGGGAGAGCTGGGTCGGGATTGAGAAGTAGCTGGATCCCAGCTTCTCAGAGCCATTGCTTCTATGGCTGGTCCTAGCTGGGGGTGGAGGGGAGAGGTTTCGGCAGCCTGGGGCAGCTTCTGAACCTTCAGTGATGCTCAGTGCTGCAGGCAGCCTCTAGAGGGCAGTGCTGCTGGGAGGGCAGGGCCCGGGGGGACTTCTCGGAGAGTTGAGTACAGAAATTCTCAAGAGGAGGGGTTTGGGGAAGTGCAGACCTTCCTGGAGGGAGGTGGACTTCAAGGAGTGTGGGCTTCCTGAGAGGGGGCTCTTCCTGGACGGTAGGGCAGGTGTTCTTTGGGGGTGGGACCCTTTTCCCAGAGCGTGGGCGCTCTCCAAGAGCTGGCCTTCCTGGAGATGGGCCTGAGGCTGGGGGACGGCACTCCCCAGGGGTGGCCTACCGCACCCAGCCACCCGTCCCTGCTGGGTCCCACCCAGGACTTGGCTGACCGAGCTCCTCGTCCGTGTCTGCACTCCTCCCACCCCAGGTACAATGAGGATGAGAAGAAGTGGGAGGGGGTCCTGCGGGAGATCGCCTATGCCGCTGGCGCGACCTTCCTACCTGTACGGCTCAACGTGCTGCGCCTGACCAAGCTGTGACCCGCCCAGAGGACCTGACTGCGCGCCCCCCATGCTGCAGCCCACACAGGCCCGGCCTTCTGGGATGGGGGCTCCAGGGAGGAGTCTGGGAGAGGCAAAGCCCACCTGTATCCCATCCCGTCACAGTGCCCGAGGGGCCGCTTCAGCGAGGAAAGGGAATTCGCTGCCTGGAGCTAGCCTTTCGGGCAGGGACGAGAAACTTTTGGCCTCTCCGGTGTCTCCATATCCCCCGTGTTCCTGGTCCAGGAGGCAGAACCTCGGCGGGTGGTCAGGCTGCATCCCGGCCCAGCCCCAGCCTGGCTGTGTGTGCGCGTAAACTCCCCACAGAACTCAGTCTCCTCGCCTGTCAGATGCGGGGGGCTGGTTCCCCATCTAGTGCACCTTGCAGCCTGGGTAAGTCTCCTGTAAGAAGAATAAAGTGCCTTCCGCGCCAGCAGCTCGGGGTCTGGGGTCAGGTGCTCCAAGTGTCAGCGACCAGGTGGTTTGAAGACCTGGGGCTTCCGTGTTCAGCGGCTGGGCTGCCAAGGTCGGTGGTCTCTGCCCTCCACGTGTGTCTCCTACACGTTCTGTTTGCGCCAAGAGCGTGAGCCCCCTCCCTGAACCTCCAGCTCCACATCCAGCCTGGACGGGGAGCCAGGAGACTGCTGGAGGAAGGGGCAGGGGAGAGCCAAAGCGCGGTAAAAAGTCTTTTATTGTATCAGTCGGGCCCCTCCCAGGAACGGCTGAGCAGAGCCCATCCGTCTCCCCCTCTCCCCTACTCCGACTTCTCTTTGTCCTGCTTCTGCTCCTCCTCCAGCATCAGGGTTCGCTCTCGCTCCTTCACCAGCTGGACACCACAGTAGGTGACAAACAGGACAGCCAGCGTGGTCTGGGGGAACCCTGTGTGGGGAAGAGGTCATGCGCGCCTGGAAGCAGCTCCCCTTTCCCCCAGTGACTCTTCTCTCTCCCCGCTTGACTGTGCCGCCCTGCTGAGTCCCTGGGGAATTGCGGTGGGGTGGGGACATTTCAGGAGGTCACAGTCCTTGAGGTCGATACCTGGCATATTCCGTATCCCCCCTCCCTCACCTGTGAGTAGCAGGCGCTTGGCGACCAGCTCTGTGAACTCAAAGCTGTTCAGGCTTACAAGGTTGTACATGATGATGGCCCAGAAGTTCATGGCCCCAAAGATGGCTCGGACCCTGCGGGACATCTGCTCCGACAGAGAGGCCTGCTGGGTCCAGGACAACATAGGCAGTGAGGTAAGAGGCCCAGGGGAAAGAGGACGTGGCGGGTCAGAGGCCTTGCCTAGGTGGCCACCTGGGTCCTGGGGATATGCCTGTGTCCCTGAGAGTCCCCGGTCAGCTCTCCCTCATTGTTAAAAGATGGGAAACTGAACTCTGGAGAGAGGGCAGGGCCTGAACAACACAGCCAGGCCTGGGTGCCCCCCAACCCTGCAGGAGGGAAGGGAGGGCCAGGTACCCACAGAGGGGGCCATTGCCCCGACGACCCGGAGGGGGGTGGTAGTGAGAAAGTTCTGGCCTGGCAGCCAAGTGTGGCTGGAAGACTCCAGAGAGCAGTAGTGCCACCCCCTCCAGTGCCCCAGACAACCCAGCCCCAGACCTTCCTTGCTCACCTCAATTCGTGCCAGGGGCCCCCACTCTGCCAGCTTCTGTACCCAGAGCTCAAAGTTGAGGCCAAAGCAGTTAAGGCATGACCACAAGTAGACAGTATCACAAGGTCCGAGCCACAGAGTGGTGACGGCAAACGTGGCCACAGTGGCCACCAGCTCTGGGATCACCTCAGAGTGCTCCCCACCAACGTGGTCATACACGTACCTGCAGGCAAGGCGGGAAAAGGGGCCGCTGGGAGTGTGGGAAAAGGCAGGTGGGAGACGGGCAAGGGATACACAACGGGGGCAGCTTCCTCAACGCTATCATCCTGGGCACATTCAACACCCTGGGCCTCAGGTGGCTGCCTCTCCTCTACCCAACTTCAAAATGTGGAGGGCTCAGCCTTGAACTTCCTGTCTTCTCTAGCTACCTTCATTTCTCCAAGCGATCTCATTCAGACTCTGAATACTGTCTCTATGCTGACAAGCCCCAAATCTGTCTCTCTAGTCTCTCTCCTGACTCATATATCCAGCTGTTACCAGACATCTCACATGAAGGACCAACTCCCCCATCCCTGCCCAAACCTACTTCATTCCCATCTCAGCTAACGATACCACCATCCATTCAGTTGCTGGCCAGAAGCCTTGGTACCATCTTGGATTCTCAGTTCCCCTCTCCACTCACATCCAGACCAGCAAATGCTATACGGGCTCCACTCGGTCCTGAGCACTGCTTATCACCTCCACTAACACCACCCTAGTCCAGGGGATCATCTCCTGTCACACAGATCATTGCAAGAGCCTCTTAAGTCATCTCCCTGCTTCTGCCTCTGCCCCCTACTGTCCGTTGTCCACACAGCAGCTAGAGGCATCTTTTAACAGTGTAACCCAGCTCACCTCACTTCCACAATCGCACCCTCCCGCGATAGCTCCTCATAACAGTTAGAATAAACTCAACCACCTTCCTGTGGCTAGAAGATCCCACGTCATCTGGTTTCTGCCTCCCACCCTGACCTATCACCCACCACTCTCCCCTTCATTCACTATGCTGTCCCCTTACTGGTCTTTCTGATACTCAGACACACACAGCTGGCTCCTGTCTCAAGACCTTTGCACCTGTTGTTCCCTCTGCCTGGAATTCTCTTCTCCAAATTTCGTTATCACTCAAGTCTCAGTTCATCTCACAGAGGCCTACCCGAACCCCAACTAAAGAAGCTTCTACCCCATTACACTCTTTTATTTTCTTCATAACACTTACCACTCTCTAAAATTATCTTTTTTTTTTAACCTGTTTATGGTCTGTTTCTCTCCACTAGGCTGTAAGTTCCATGAGTTCACAGCCTTTGTCATGTTCACTGCTGTATCCCCAGTGCCTAGAACAGTGCCTGGCACGTAGTAGATACTCAATAAATATCTGTTAAATAAATTCAGTAGAAGACCCATTGCATAACCAGCCTCTCTGTTCCTTGACCTCCTCGTTTCACCAATGGTTTCTTTTCCACCCCACCTCAGTCACCCACTCCCATGGCCACACCCCAACTTTTGCACCACTTGTTTGATTCCTTCCTAATTCCCATCCTTCACCCTGCCCCCCCCACCTGACCTGACTCCCTAGCTCCACTTCTTCAATCTCATTGACCTCCCCCCCACCTTCCTCATCTTGTGACCCACTCCTATTTTTACCACCCTTCTTAACTGTATTCAATGAGTCATCATTACATATAACCTAAAAACCCTGCTCCCTCACTTCTTCCTTCTCACCCATCTGGGAAAGCCCAATCACCCACTTTCTCCTCACCTGCACCCAGGAAGCGAAGCCCTGATGGGAAAAACCCCACACCTTCACATATTAGAATCCATAAACCCACTACCCCCAACCCCACTTGAGCTGTCAGTGCCACGGTTTCTCTGGCCAGCATCTTCTCTCAGGCTCTGCCATGGCTACTCCACCTCACCTTTCCTGCACGCGTGAATGGGTGTGGTGATCTAGGCAGGAGGAGAGAGGCAGCATCTGTGTGCCTCCCTCCACCCCCCAACCCTGCATCTCTCAGCTGATGACCCTGCCTCCTACTTCATGGAGAAAACCGAAGCTTTCAGGAGGAATCCCTCACCTTTCCACACTCACCTGCCATTCTTCTGCATCCACACTGGCCTTTCTTCCTCCTCCGTGGCCGAAGCCAGAGCTCTGCCTGGTTCCATCGCCTCCTCCCCTTCTCAGGGAGCTCACTCCATCAATCACCCCTCTATCCTGCGCTGCCAACTTCCTCCTTTCTATTGAATAATTCCCCTCGGCACCCAAGCATGTCCCATTATTTCCCGTCTTTAAAACACCCACTTCTCCCTTCGGCCACTTCTGTGTGTCCCCCTTCAGTACCAGGCTTCTTCCAGGAGCTGTCCACACGGGAACTACCCTGCGGTTCCTCTGTCCTCCACGTCCCCAGCCCCGACTCCTCCCCGCCCCTGCCTCTCCGGGGAAAGGCTGAGAACCTCCATGCCACCCACGCTCACGCTCAGTCTCTGGCTTCCTTGACACCAGCAGCATCTGACCCAGTTGCCCCTACCATGCCAGGATGGTCTTCCCTTAGCTTCCAGGGTGTCCCACGGTCCTGCCTTTTCTCCTGCTCCTCTGACCGCTCCTTTCAGGCCCTTCTGCCGGCTCCTTCAACCAGAGTCCTTCCGGGCACACGACTTCCTGGGAGTCATCGCCCTCTCCTTCCTGATGCCCTCAATCCACGGCCAGGTGCTGTCCAGGCTGCCTGCTGTGTGTCTCCACTCCATTTCTCTCACCTCCAGGGGCCCCACCCAAGTCCAAACCTCTGTCTTTCACTTCGACCTCTGCCATGACCTCCTCCCTCTGTCCCTGCTTCCTCTGGCCCAGAGGTGATCTTTGAAGACGTGGACCCACCTGGCCACGGCCCTGCTCAGCCACCTGGGGGATGGCTGTGACATCCCACCCCACCCCAACTCACCTGCAAAGCCAGTCGTTGATGCCACGGTCAAAGTGCCTGTGGGAGGAGAGCATACGGGTGGGAATCAGCCAGGAGATGAGCTCCGGGGCTTGGGGCAAGAGGCGAAGGGGAGGTGGGGATCCCGGAGGCGAGTCCCTGGACCTCGCACTCACGTCTCGGAGAAGACGTAGAGCGCTGTGATGCACTTGGGAGGCCGGGGCGGGTCCAAGTGGTCGAGGCGCGCCACGGTGTTGACGACGCCGAAGAGGACGGCCGCCTTCACCCAGTCGTACACCAGGTTTGAGTAGGCTAGGCCAGCTGGGGACAAGGGGTCGTCACGGCCCGGGGGGCATCACACCGACCTTCCCCCGCCCCCGTCCCCCATCCCACCCCGGGTCTTCCCAAATCCAGGGGAGGCGCGGAGCCCTGCCCTCCCCTACGGACACTCTCTCCCCAGCTCGGGGTGGGGGTGGGGGTGTCCTTGCGGCCCGGCCGCCCCCACGGAGGCCCCGCCCCCACGTCCTGGGGGGAGGGGCTGGCCCCAGGGAGACCCTATCCGGCTGGGGAAATCAGCCCCAGGCCCCGGCGAGGTGGGCGGCCTCTGTCTGGTACCGCTGCCCGGCGTCACGGGGCAAACCTACCTCCAAGTCCCACGCGTTTCAAAGGCTAAATCCCCGCTCCCCCACCCTGCGATAGGTGCTGTCCCCCGGGGCGCCAGCTTCCCCAGCTGTGACTCCGCCGCCATTGGGGCGCAGAGGGTCCGTCCTTCTGAAGTGGCGGCCCCGACCCCATCCCTGTTCTGGGCCCGGCGCGCACCCACCGAGGGCGCTGTCTGGGAGGCGGCTGGCGAACTTGAGGTCATTGGGGATGGTGAGGATGTAGAAGAAGTGGAAGAAGATGTCCACGGCCACGATGGCTACCACGCTGAGGCCCGCCTGGGCCCGGATGCGCCACAGCTCGCCCTCTCGCCGCACCGGCTCCACCTGGCTCACCTGAGGGACGGCTAGGGTCTGAGTGGGGGAGGTAAGCCCTGCGCGAGGAGCCCTGTCTGAGCGGTGAGTCACGAGCTAGCTGTCTGGGGATGCGAGGGTGAGGGGAGACGCGGCTTCATCCTGGCAACGCTGAGAGTGGAGACACGGGCCCCTCTGGGGTCTGAGGGGCGTTCACTTCCGCCCGGGGGGGGGCGCAGTCCTGTCTTGGGAGCCCACAGGGTGTCCCCTCACCTGAGCGTGGAAGCGATCAAAGGTCATAATGGGCCCGAAGAAGAAGAAGGGCAGGTAGAAATTGTACTTGAGCAGGTCAGCTAGGGAGTAGCGGCGGTCAGGGTGGGCACAGCTCTCCAGCGCAAAGCTGGTACAACGCAGCACCGTGAAACCACTGCCCCCGTGAAACAGCACCTCTTGAAGATCAAAAGTCCCTGTTACAAACCCGCTCTGGATGGGAGAGAACAGGCCGCCAGCTCACCAGGGGGCCCCTTGTCTCCGGGAAGCCCACCCAGCCTCCTGCAGGGGCCCAGCCTGGTCCTGCTGTCACCCTCTCTGCCAGCGCCCGTCAATACTGGCCACCGAGGGCCAATTTCATAAGTGCTGGGGCAGAGCAGGGAAGGAGCTGGACGTGTCTCTGCTGCGGTGGAGGCGACCGCCTTGTGGGCAGGGCATGCTCCGTGGTCAGAGGCTTGAAGACGGGTGGGAAAGTGAAGGAAATGCTTGGGGAGACTTAGGAGGCAAACGTTTTGGATGGGGTGAGAGGTCTGGGGTCCTATCCCTGCACCCTCCACCCCTGCCCCGCCCCAGCACACACCTGCCAGGAGATGAGGGGGTCCAGCTTGAAAGAGGCGAGGCTGGCCAGGCCGAGGCCGAGACAGAGCCAGGGCTGGTGCAAAAGTGAGACAACATAGAGGCCCACGCAGTGGCCAAGCAGCAGCAGCAGGTACCACGGGCCCATCGTGCCCACCACCGCCAGGGCCCCGTACACAGCGTACATCCAGGAGCGGAGCTGCGGACAGGGAGGAGGCTTCGTCTACCTCTCCATGTGAACGGAGGTGGGAGCCCAATGGCTTCCCCGCAACCCTGTGGCTGAGGGGGAGGGGGAGGCAGGGGGGGCTCAGGTCCAGCTCACCTGGGGGGCAACCATAGTGCAGAGTTTCGCAAACAGCACGTGTCCGGAGAGAGCGAGGAAGATGGCGTTGCGGAAGGAGGTGAACCACATCACCCACTCGAAGTCAGCCACGTCCTGGGGCAGGCCCAGGCAGGTTAAGGTGGGGCGGGGGCAGAGTGGGCTGGCGCTTGGGCTGCTCAGAGTCTCAACCCCTTCCCTGCCCCCAGAGTCTTCTTGTGCATTAGAGGAGAGCAACGGCTGAGGTCCCTGCCTTCCCCTCTGAGGGAAGTACCAGGAAGGTAGGTAGAGAGGAATGAGGGGCACCACGTGGGCTGCCCTGCTGCTCCGAGCTCCCCCTCTGTCCAGCACATTGCCTGACATTCCACCATTACTGCGTTGTTCCTGGGGAGGATGGTGCTGGAGGCCCTGCGGAAGCCCGTCTCGGTTTGTTTCCTAAATGAGCAGGGTCTGAGGCAGGCTTGATCTGGCCCCAGGAGGACAGAGGAGGGGCCAGTGGAGAAACTGAAGATGCTGAAAATTCAAGCCAGAGACCTTCCCCATTGCCAGCCCTCTGTTATGTGGGACCATTGGGAACAGGGGAGAGCAGGGAAGGGTTTGGGACAGGAGAGATGGGCCAGGGATCAGAGACCCCGGTCAGGGACCCTGCGCTGTGGGGGACCTACCATCTTCCGGCCAATGTACTCCCAGCCAGGTCGCACAGACTCCCGGAAGGCTTTCCTGTGGGCCCCACCTGAGAACAGAGTCTGGTCTCAGGGCGCTTCACGCCCACACCTGCCTCTACAGCAAGGCTGATGCCACCCTCGGGGGACGGGAGAGGGTCTGGGTCTCTCTCCGCCTCTGCTTCTCTCTGGGTCTCACTGTGTGTGTGGGGCCAGGTCTCTGTATCCCTGAGTGTCTGAGACACCCTCTCTCTCTTTCTCTGGCTCTGCCCAGGTCTCTGTCAGTGCTTCCGCATTTGAGTCTCCCTGTGGCTGCATCTGACTCGACCCCCTGGCCCCAAGGCCTAGGGACTGCCCTTGAGGCTGGAGCTCTAAGTTTCTGGCCTTGCTGGGTGGAGCCCTGAGACCCCCAGCGGAAGAACGGTCCCACCCCTCTGTCCCGGGCCCAGCTGTTACCTTGTGAAGCCTCAAAGAGGCCCCGGCCAGCATAGCCTAGGGCCCCGCTCAGCACCAGGGAGTACAGGCCCAGCTCTGCCGCGGGCAAGGCTGTCTTGATGCCCATAGCCTGGATGGGGCTGAGGGAGACAGATTGGGTGAGGGCACCGCTGCCCCCCGGCCCTGCCTAGCCCAGTTCATGGTCCCCACTGAGGTGAAGCGGTCCCCATTCTGAAGAGAGACAGCCCCTTGGGCATCTCATGCCATCATTCTCCCCGCGCATCTCCCGCTCCTCCCAGGCCCCCTGCCATTTGGTGCCCCCTCCTAGCCGCTACTCTCGGCCCCTCCCCCTTCCCGCTGAAGGCTCTTGAAAGCATTGTCTTCGCTCAGCCGGCCTTCTACACCTTCATTCACTCCTCCATACCTTTCAGGTGGACCGGTCCCCACCCTCTGCTCAAACTGCTCCTCCAAGGTCTCAGATGACTTTCTTGTGGAGAAACTCCCTCTGCATCACCTCAGTCATAGTTCTGGCCCCTAGGGTTCCCACTCCCCTCAGTAAGTCTCTCTCAACTCCTGACAAATCCACCCCTCCTCCGGGCCCCTTTCTCTGATTCCATACCCTCCTGAGCTGCCTTTACTTCCTGTGACCTCCCCACGGGAGGAGGGAGGTCTAGCCTATAGCTTCTCATTGACCCCCAACACGCCAACCAGCCCCTGAGCCCCAGCCTGCCACATCCCTGGTTCCTGCCTGTGTCCGTGGCCACACCTGCCCACTCTCTCAGTGCTCTGTGTATCCAGGCCCGGGATGCCGGCTGGAGGCTGTGCTATTTGAGGAAGAGCCCTGGGGTAGTGGGTGTGGGGCTAGGCTGGGCCAGGCAGACACCGGGGAGTGTGCTGGCCGCTGCCCAAGGTGCTGACCAGCATTGGGCTTGGGGTGAGCCTGGCCACTCCCTCCTGCCAGGGCCTAGCTCATCCCCAGGAGTCCTCCTGGGTCATCCCTGGGACCTAAGCTAGCACCTGTGCCCTCTCTATCCTGCTCCGGCCTGACCCGTGGCCATCCTTTCAGGCTGGGCTGAGCAAGGTGGCTGGCATGGCCCTCTCTCCCGCCCCAGATCCTCTATATCTCCCTCACCAATTCCGAAACCGGCTCTCCTGGGCCGCCACAGTCGGCATTCTCCCCATTACACAGATGGAGGGCTCATGGACCAGAAAGGGGCAGGGACCTGTCAAGGTCACACAGCGGACCAGGGACAGGATTGAGTGTTCTCAGTGAGCCCCCCTGCAGTCTCTGATCGGAGAAGACCGTCCGCTGCCCCTGCCCCTACCAGCGGCCCGCCGGACCTGACTTCTACACCGCCGGCCTGAGGGCTGACGCACCTCCCCACGGGGCGGGTGGGGGTAGGGAGGCCCTGAGGATCGGGTTAAGGGAGCAGAAGCTTGAAACCGGAGCACGGTGAAGAGCCTGCGAAATAGCTTTGTCAGCTGCCTCCCACTCTCCACTTTCCAATTTTAGCTCCCCGTGGCCGGTGCCGGGTGTCCCCTGTGAGGCCTCTGTGAGCAAGGCCAGGGCTGGCCCCCAGCCTGGGACCTCTCCTGATAGACCCCAGACCTGGGCCAGCCTGTGGACAGAGGAGTGCCCCCTGCCCACTGACCTGCCCGCCTGAGGTATACCTGGAGTAAAGCCCACTTTGGGGCCTGAGGTTTGCGATGAGGGGCCTGGGGTGGGCTCTACAGGTCTCAAGGACCCCGTAGTGGCTACATCCCTGGCTGGCACTGACCTTGAGGAAGCTGTGAGGGACCCTGGCACACTGCCCACCTCGGGGCTCTGGGGTCCTGCGTCCGACCGTGCGACCGTCCGACCAGCTGGGCTCTGGGGCCCCGGTGCGGTGTGTCCAGCTCTGGGGTCCCCACACCCTCGAGGCTGTGAACGGTGAGTGGTGACAGCAGGAGGGGTGGGGGAGGAGGAGGGCAGGGAGGAGGTGGCCTTTCTGGAGCGGAGCTGCGTGAAGTGGAGCAGAGCTGAGTGCTGCAGAGCTGCTGGCCACAGGGAGCTGCAGGGAGGATTGGGGAGGGGCAGAAGGGGTGGCCATTGGCACAGGCTCAGACAGGGACACCTGGACCTCACTTCGACCTCCCTCCCCTGGTCCGTACAGCCTGTGTCTCCTTCTCACTGCTGGCCAGGACTCTCCTCTTCCAGGAAGCCTTCCAGGTGGCCCCCGCTGGCCTCTCTAGGCTTGTGAGCTACGCCCCCACCATGCAGACACACGCTCATACCACGCACACACTTTCACGTGCAGCTCCATGAATTCCAGCGCACACCTTTACGTGTGAATTCCCAACGGCTGTCCCATGGCACACCCACCTAGCCCCCTGCCCTGGTCCATTTCATCATGCAGAGAATCCTGGCTGGCCAGGCATCAGTGCCTGGGGGTGGACTGACTTGCCTAGTGGAATTGTAACTGGCAAGAGACATGTGGGCCCCATACCCCAGCCCTGTCCCATAGGGAGCTGACCAGGTGGAGGGGAGCTAGCAGGGTCACTTGAGTGGGTCCTTGGAGTGGCTGACATCCTCTCCACGGCAGGGTGGAGGCAGACAGCACTGTTCCTAAGCAACCAAGACCCCTCTGGGGGAGGGGAGTGGGGGGAAGGGGCAGCTGAGGCCTCAGCGCAGCCTGCCTGATGCAGAGGGGTATCCTGAAGGCCGCCCCACCGTGGCCTCAGAGCCCAGCTGGTTGGACGGATGCGTGGTTGGATGCAGGACCTCAGAGCTCCATGGTGGGCAGTGTGCCAGGGTCCCTCACAACCTCCCCAAGGCCAGTGCCACCCAGGGACCCAGCTACTCTGGGGTCCTTTGGGATGAGGATCTCAGAGTCCCTGAGGGCCTGTTTATGCATGTGCATGGGGGACAGGGTCTGGAGGGTAGAAGGAGCTGTGTGACTATAATGAGTCATAAGACAGGTCCTGGAGCCCGTGCCGACCCTCTGAGCCCAGTCACAGGCTCAGCGGAGACTAGAGGAGGAAGAAGTGTTCTCCTACCCCGACCCTCAGCAGGGGCACTTCCAGGGCCTGAGCAAGGCCTGGGAGGGAGAGTGCCCTCCCTTCCCACAATCCCCGGAGGCGCCGAGCTTCCTCTCAGCACACACTCCCCACAGGGTGACACGGAGGCCTGCACGGCGGGTCCCTGACTCTGAGAAGCATGAACGGTGATTACTGCACTGGAGGGGCTGCGGGCGGGCTGCAGTCATGGATCGTGGGTGCCAGAGGAGGCCAGCGTCGGGGAGGGGCTGTGCCTGAGCCAGACTGTGGGCGTTAAGGAGGGCTTCCTGGAGGAGGTGGGGCACCCGAGTAGAGTCCTGAGGTAGAGTCAGTGGTTGTTAGAGGAGAAATAAGTTAATCACAGTTCTGAGGCTGTACCTGGATTAACTCTTTTTAATGTCACCACGACCTCTAGGGAAGTGGTTGTTACCATTTTCCCCAGTTGGTAGAAGGGGAAACTGACGAACAGGAGGTTAGATTAAGTCACTGGCTCAGCCGCAGCAGCTTCTGGAGCTGATTGCCCTGCAGGGGCAAGGACCCAGCTCACCCACACCTGGTGCTGGCTGAGAGCAGCCTGAGCCGGCCATGCAGCTGGTGCCCTCGTGAGGCTCCCAGAGAATGGCTCTGGGAGGCAGACGGGGTGGTCTGGCTTCACCGTTAGGAGCACAGGTACAGCCAGCTGACTTGAGCCTGAGCTCCGCCTTGCTGGCAACCCACTTCTCCGAGCCTCAGATACTCATCTGTAAATGGGCACACTGCCGGCCCTGACCTCACTGGGCTCCTGGGGGGATTCGATGGCTCACTCCGTGGCCAGGGCCTGGCTCACTGAACTGCTCATAAAGAGAGGCTGTTAGAGAGGCTGAGACCCCCCGCTCCAGAGGCCAAGACAGGCAGCGCTCACACACAGCAGGAGGAGGGGTCCACCGGGCCACCGCGTGCGGTGGGGTCTGTAGGGAGCTTGGCTTGTGGGGATGGCAGGCGGGTAGAGGGCTAGGGAGGCCCCTTGGACCTGGGACTGGACAGCCTGAGGCCAGCTTCCCCCGAGTGAGGGGTGGTGAGGGGAGGGCACCTGGTGCCCACAAAACGAGGGGCAGGAAGTGACTGGGCTAAGACCAGCAAGGGCTACTGGGAAAGATGGGCAGGGGGCCAGTTCTCTCAAGTCTCAAAGTCCTTTTCATTTGTTTCTTGTTGTCGCTCAAAGTAAAAAGTCGGGGAAAGTGTGTGTGTGTGGTATGTTGTTTATGGCGTGTGTGTGTGTGTGTAAGCTCAGGGACTATAGGAGATACGGTGTGTGTGCAGGAGAGGGGGTGCGTGGGCAGAGACTTCCTTGTGGGGTGGCCGTGAGCTCGCTGGAGGAGGGGATGGGGAGGCTAGTTCTGGCCACTGACTGCGAGGGCCCAGAGGAGTCCTCTTGCTGCAGGCCCCCCTGACCTGGCCTCCTGAGAGCAGGGGAGGGCCCAGGGACATGGGGACATGTTTGGGGCTTGAATCAGCCTGAGCCAGACTGCAGCCTTGTCCAATTGGGCTGTGGTGCCCCAAAGGCCCCCAAGGGGACAGTGGCCAAGCCACACCCATGGCTCAGCCGGGTCTCAGCTGTCAGTGTCGGAACCTGAGCGCCCAGGCCCACAGCCTGGCGTGCGGCCAGGGAGAGTCCTCACGTGAGGCGTCTCCACCCCCGGCCTCACTGCTTGCTGTTCCTCCACCCTCCAGGCACCTGTCTCCCATTCCCACCACCTTGTGGCTCCGGGTAGGGACCTCAGCGTTCCCATCTGTGAAAGGCAGGTCCAGCCCACCTGCTGCCCACCTGCCTGAGGGCTGGGAGGTCCTCCTCGGGGCCGCAGGGACAGGCGGTGCTGCTCAGGAGGGACCACAGGCACTAACCTGGACAGACCAGGTTGCCGCGCTCCGTGCCTGGCCCACCTTCAGGGCCCCAGCCCTTGGTCCTTCTGACAACCCTTTCTTCTCCTGGGCCTTCCCCTCCCCACCCCCTTACCCACCCACACCCCAGGGAGATTGGAAGGACAGCCTCACCCCACCCAGACTTGGGCAGTGAGCCCGGAAGCCAACAGGAAAGGTGGGAGGCTCTGAGATGCGGCTTTGTCTCTGCATACCCCCAACCCATCCCGCCCCGTCGCGGCGCTCTATTTCCCACGCCTCTCTGACTGGACAGGCAGCTCCCTGAAGGCCGCAGCAGCAAGTCAGATTCGCCTCCGGGCCCCTCACAGGCCTGGAGAGGCTGGTATGCAGTTGGCACTCGATGACTGCTTGATGGCCAGCTGGCTCGGTAGATGGTGGCCTGGGAATCTGTCTCCCCAGCTGATCTGGGGCTTCCAGGAGCTCGGGGACTGAGTCTGCCTCACCTGGCACCCCCTTGCCTAGGGCAGAGTAATTGCTCAACAAGTATTTGTGGAACTAATAGACGTAATACTGTGGGCTGGCGTTTATTGAGCGCCTACTATGTGCCAGCCGCTGCACTAGCACTTGGCACCTTTTAACTCAGTGAGTCCTGAAGAGGGATTCTGCTGGGGGAATGGAGCAGACCTGCTCTAAGCACACACGTGTGTGTGTGTGTGTGTGTGTGTGTGTGTGTGTGTGTGTAGACGCACATTCCCGCTCGTGAAGACCGGTCACTTGTGTCACTTGTGCAGTGACTCACATATGCGGCATACGTACCGCGAACCCCCTCCATGGGGGAAGCTACCTGGGGCTTCTGGGACCCTGTCTGCTCGAGCCCTTCCTCGGGGATGGGGCTGAGGGGGGACTCCATGCTGGCCCCCCTACTCGGAGCCCCAACCCTGCATGGGGTGACAGGTCTAGAGACCCCCAGCAAGTGTAGTGAAGGCCATGAGGATGAAAGGGTGCTCAGTTTCCCTGTGAAGGAAGTTTTCTCTGATCCCACGTGAAGGGAAATGGCTAGGCAGGGCCCGTGAGTGTGGAGTCAGCACTGTCTGCTGGAACATGTGTGTCCACATATGATTCATGCTTCTGAGTCTAGGTATTTGTGTGCACCTGTGTCTTTGTGTGGGCCCCTGTGTGCCCAGGTGTGGCCAGGGTGTCTGGGTGTGTGGCTACCCTCCGTGGAGCCACCCCTCCCCATGGCAGTAACTGCAGTTGAGAGGGGTGACACTGCGGCAGTCACAGAGGGGCCTGGGGGCTCTCCTGCAGCAGCCCTCCCAGTTCACCCCTGTGCTGTGGTGAGGCAGGTACACTATGCCTTCGCCTGGACCCACTGCCTCAAAATCCCCCTGCCCAGAGCTCCAAGCCGGCCCCACCTCTGCCCTCTGCCACCAGCACCCACCAGCTGCAGCCTTTTGGAAGCAAAAAGAGGTGCCTCTTGGAGCAGCTGGCAGGGGGACAGAGCTGCCCAGCACTGGGTAGGCACGCCCACCCTGGGTATTCGGATCTGCCGAGGACGCTGGCTTTTGCAGGCAGGCCAGGGTTAAATATTAGCTCCGTGTCTTTCTGTGAGCCTCAGTTTCTTCATCTGTAAAACAGGGTGACAACCCCCTGGGTTACTAGAGGTCTAGATGGGATCGGGTTTCCACAGTAGGTGCCCACTCACTGGGAGCTGTGGTGATCATGAAAATCATCATTATTATTACAAGCCTGAGGGTCTGCACCTAAGGAAGAACCCTAAGGGGTGGGCCGACAAGGTGGCTAGGAGCATGGTGCCCCCAAGTCTGTTGAGGGTGGGGATGCCCACAGATAGAGCAATGGAGGTAGGAGTGGGGTGTGAGGATGCTCTGGTGAGGGAGGTGGGGCGGGGCTGGGCGGCCTAGGGGATGCTCCCAGCCTGGAGCCCTCTGGGCTCTCCTGCACATGTGGAGCCCTGTGGGCATGCAGGGTCCCCCGCTAGGCTCTAGGACAAGGGCAGTGAGCACCTGCCCAAGGGACTGCATCTGTCCGTTCACAGCCGGCTTCTCATCCCAGAGCTCTTGCTGATGCCGACAGGCTACTGGCCTCCTCGCTTGCCATCGCTAAGCGTGCCCAGGGCTTCTCCTTTGCCCTCCTGCCATGGGATGTTGGCTCTTGTTGCCCTTGGAGAGCCTCTTCTAGGAGAAGGGGCCCAGCTGGCTGCCCCAGGTTGGCTTCCAGGAGCAGATGGAGTCCTCAGATAGAGCCTCGTCCTCTCAAGGCCTAAGGCTGCCCCGTCCAGCCAGGCTGACACTGGGCCGCCATCCTAGCGCTTGTCTGCCTTCTGCTGCCGCAGGGCCTGCAGGAAGACCCCTTTCACCTGGCCCAGGGTCTCATGGTACATTCGGAAGTCCTCCTCCTTTCCCCGGAGGGCACTGCTTAGGGCAGCCTTCAGCATTTCGTTCTCCTCCACCTGGATGGCCAGCCTAGACCACACAGAGAAGAGGGCTCAGCGCGGCTGAGCTGGCACACGTGAGTGTGTGTGCATGCGTGTAGAGGGCCCTGGGAAAGGCTGCCAGCTC